GTTTTGCCTATTTGTAGAAGAGGGTCGCCATTTTGTATTTTATTTTGACTCGATTCTCGGTCCCCTGACTACCTACGAGTCCGGATTTTTTTATGCGCAAATGATTTTGGCATCTAATACTCTGTGCCAAATATCAACTCTCGACATGTAATCCTTCATATCTCTATGCTGGTAAGAACATCGGGCAGTATGATTTTATAAAGAAGACATAGTCTTGTCAATAAACCTTAAAATCGAATGATATAATTATTTTTCATATTTAAGTAACTTAATGCGTCCTGCAACCTCCAAAATAATAATATTAACAATGCTGTGTAAAATATATATTAAAAAAAATTACTTTTGAATTACGTAGAAATTTTCACAAATAGAAAAAATTTAAATTTGAAAGAAAACAAAAAAAAAAGTTTATTTGTTCATCCTTCGAATGATGACATCAAGACAACTCCTGTGGCATGAAGTTAAGAACCGTAACACTTGAATTTGAAAAACATTTGACATACGTACAATACCTGAAATTTTATCCATTAAATCCGAAGCCCATTTACTGTACTTGCAAATACACAGTTCTTCTATATTCACCATAGTATTTAAATATCAAAAATTATTAATATTTAATAATAACAGATTTATAAATAGAAACAGAAAAATATACAAAATATCATATTTAAGTACAAAAAAGTCATCAACGAGTCGCTTAACTTTTCCGGCAACATTTAAAATTGTTTGGCGCCATCTGTTATGATATTTTATATTTTTAATTATTATAATACGGCAAAAAGCTTTATTTTGAGGATAAGCACGGGTTTTATTAAAAAAAAAATTATAAATGCTAATAACGAGTAAAATTGCAATTAAGTCCGACCCTACTCGAGATGTGATACACGACCCATTTTTTCTCCCTACTCCTTCTATCTTTAACCACCAAAATTTAATAGCATCAATCCCTAATACACAAAAAAACCTCCTGCAAAATTTCAGAAATTTTACACAAAAAGCACAGGATTCAGCTTCAAAGAGGTGAACAAACTCGCACATTACCCTCACGCACACTAACATCATACATACAGAAAATTATTTTTTCATTACGTTTCAAGATCTCGAGTCCAAAAATGTAAAAATCTTGGGGGTCATTTTTTTGACCGCTCGCCGAACTTTCCTTCTGTTATATATAACAGAGCCGAGAAAGTAAAAAAGGAATCACTTCAACTTCTTAATTTTACCAATAACAAAATTTAATATTTTAACTTTAAAGATCTATAATAATTATTGTTTACTTATTGAAACTTATTGAAATACACGTACTATAATTAAATTTTAAATATAAAAGATTTTATTATGAAAAATTTTATTATTTATTCTATGCGTATTCGTAAAAATTAAACAATATTAAACTCATAGAAAACTCTTGCAAAATTAGCATTTCATTTGAAGTTTGTAAGTTTCGATCAATTGACGAGTATGTAAATATTTATTTTTCTCTTTCAAATTTTGTCTTACTAACAATATTATAACATAATTAATTCTACATCTTTCATCTCTGTTTCTTTTACAATTAATAATTAATCATTTGAAATTTATTAACATATGCACAACTAAATTTTTCTTTTAGACAATGGTTATTAATTAATAATTATTATCAAATAGTAAATATACAATATTACAATAGAAAAATGTTTTTTCTGTTTTAAATTTCCACCATAGGATTCAGGTTTAAATCCTATAGTAAAAATGTCCAGGAATTTTTCGGGGGTAGTCCTTCCCGATATATCGGGCCCCTCCCATTGTTGTCTCGAAAAAGGGCCTAGTGCCTACAGGACAAAAAAATAAATAACATTTTTATTAAGTAATCTTAATTGTTAATTAATTTTATTTTACTAACTTATAATTAAATGTTTAAACATTATATATCAAATTACACGTAATTAGCATTTTAAATAAATAAAAAAAAAACGTTTTTATTGTTATCTGATATTAATTAGAAATTCTCTACTTTAAAGAGCCACTAATGCTAATTTAATTATCGTGAAATATTTCGGGTATAAATATTTTATAATTTTAAATATGTACAGTTAAAATTAATAAAAAAAAATTTTTTTTTACATTATATGTATATAAGTCATAGGTAATCGTTATTTTTCTAAAAACTACAATAAAATCGTAACTTCTACATAATGTATAACAACTTATTTAGCTGCATATATTATTTAGCCATTAGCCTATAGAATACATTCAATATTCTATTTTTTCTTAAGAAATAAAATATGATAACAAGAATGTCTCATCGTTAATAATCGTTGTGTTTACAACTGATCCGTCTAATTAGAATAATAAATTTATTACATAGCTAATAAATAATATTTAAATGCTATTTCAAACTAATTATTTAAAATTTTAATGAATTTAGACCATAACTCGAGAATAGCTTTGGGAAAAAATCTCCAGCTTGTCCACATGTTTGCTAAGTCTGCGGTTTTTCTTGTAATAAAGCCCTATCGTGTGAGCAAAAACAATCAAGAAAGTAAAACCTCGTGTTCTATTTACTTCAATATGGCATCAGTAATCTCTCTTAATACCCTTCTCTTTCACTATTCGATCAAAGGAATGTTTCTCTTTTGAGAAGTGATGGAGTCTGTTTACAAAAGTGAATTCTGACAACGAGTAAAGTATATTGATTTCTAACCATACAGAAAGCTTTTAATTTTCTTTCCCGTTTTCTCAAAATTTTATTTTTTAAAAATACAAAACAACTAAATCGTAACTAAATCTTAGCATTAGTGTTGTTTAGAATTTCTAATATAAAGATAAAAAGAAAATCTCGTTTTTATTTATATGGAAGTTAGTGTTGTTAATGACATTTTTCTTTTCTGCACAGTTACTAAAACAAAATTATTTTATTAATGTCAAAATTAAAAAGGGCAATTCTATTTTATTTTATTTCAGATTTTCGAATAATTTGAAATTAAAACAATTTTATTAACTTAATTATCTAAAAAGTTTCCTGTTATTTTTATAGTGTCTATATATTGTCATATTCTTTGACTAATTGTTCTTGTTAATTATTCTTTTATCATTAATTTACAGATGCAGTGGAATCTCGAAGCTATATAGGCCTATATATATATCTGTAAACTATATAGAAAACACAGTGACATCGAGTAATCTTATACCTGAGACAAAATTATTGTTATCGGAAGTTTGACCGAGAATCATCGATCTCTCCATTAAATACAACATAATTTATGGAAAAAAAAGAAAGCGGATGTGTAATGTGTCGTCTCTGATTAAAATGAGACTATCAAAATTCACAGCTACATTCGGCGAGGAAATACAAAGTTTGCATATAAAGTGCCACGTCACTTTTTATCACCCTCGGCAAATTTTTAACTTTTCACCAATGTGTTCGATAATTCTCCACTAGATCCATTGTTCTGTTCTATAATCCATTGTTTGTAAATTGTAAAAAAATGAATCCACTTTTTCTCCATTTTAAGAAAGTAATAGAAACGGTGGAAAGGTAAAGGGCACGCACTTTAAAGTCATAATAAATCAAAATTTTGATACCGATATCGATACTCTGATATATCGATTATCGGCACTTAGTACGCATCCGTTATATTTCTTTTTATTGATTAAAAAAATATTTATATAAATATAAATATGGCTGTACATATGCATATAATACTTTTCTCAATAGTTTAGATACAAATATTGCGTCATAATTATGTCTTCTATTAGAGGTAAAACACTAGGCCTATAATTTTATTTTATTTTTTTTCAAATTTCAGCCCAAAATATTTGCTTAAATGAGATCCGAGCTAAATTTCTAGAATTCAAATCAATGTCGAACACACTATAAAAATGTATACGTTAACACTGTAAATTATGTTTCCTTACGGAAAAATTTATTCCGTATGCCGTTNCACGAGCACGAGCAGGAGCACATACAAACTCAAGCACGAGCAGGAGCACATACAAACACGAGTACGAGCAGGAGCACATGCAAACATGAGCACGAGCAGGAGCACATGCAAACACGAGCACGAACAGGAGCACATACAAACACGAGTACGAGCAGGAGCACATACAAATACGAGCACGAGCAGGAGTAATTATTTAGGGACATCGTCACAATGCCGGGCTTCAATTTTTAATCAATTTAATTTAAAATATATGCTCTCCACCTCAAATTAGTAGTATCTTATCCCTGTACATCATACTTTCCTGTTAGCAATAGAGTCATGCCGTCATCTATCTAACTCCTTACAGTGGAAAATTTTTGAATTGAAATAACTTGACTTTCGGTATTCGTATATATAGTTAATAAGGGCCTCCTGTCCTTACGCTTTCCATATCTATCCCTGATTTCGTCTAACTCCGTTCTCGAGATTAAGGAAAGACGGACGACAATGGGAATTTATCGATCTACAATTTTTCTAAATTGCAGCCTAATTACATCTTTTAATCGAAATATAAAACTTTCGTAACAATTTTATGCCGTCCCTCATCAACTCAGTCGAATGATAAGGGACGGGCCCGACATATCCGGGACTTACCCCTGTCCCGAAAAATTCCTGGAAAGTTGCTCGCCTGGATTCGGCCATCATAAGATCTGTCTTTATCATATGGTTCGCTCAAATCCTCAATACAGCATTGGACTGCTTATATAGTTATATTAAAGGCGCTTTACCAGACAATACTCCCAATGTCTGCGTTCAGCAAATTTAAATGTCCCGGAATTCTGTCGGACGCTCTCTGTAGTAGCGATACTTCCGAACACTTTGAGTGTTTTTACATCACGGTTAGTATTTAATCCACTCAAAAACGTTTACTAGCAACTAAAAAGATATAAATGCCAAAATAAAACTTAAAAAACATTTGACGAAGTAAATTAAACAACACGGTAGACTTCCTCTACCGTGTTGCATTTATTCGGATTAAAGAGACATACATTCCAATCGTATAGAACAGCTACCATATCTGACATTTGTGAAGAAGTAAATTAAATTCATTTTTAACGTCGAGTCTGCTCAACTCAATCAAGATTAGTCGTAAGCGCCACCTTATGGCCGTTTTCAACGTCACTCCGCTAATCGGTGAAAGCCACGATAGTGGGAGTTTTTAAAAATGGCGAGTGTGGAGAGGAAGGTATTGATAACGGGTGCTTCTGGTCTGCTCGGAAGAGCTATTTTGAAAGCGTTTAAGCGAGCCAAATGGAATCCTCTAGGATTAGCGTATTCCCGCGCCGAAGGAGAATTGAAAAAGGTCGATTTAACAGATTCAAAAGAAGCTGAAGATGTTATACAAAATTTCCAGGTAAGATGCTGCAGAATGATGTGTAAATATCGTCTTAAGTATTATTCAGGATCTGTTTTATATACAGTACATGTTACGGATAATGTCAACCTTATCCGAGTCAAGTAAATAAACACCGAAATATGGAGGAAAATAATTTTCTCAACTTTACCCGGATAACCTTGAAATTTTCCGCCAAGATTTGCATGATCTTGGATACCAATTGCAAAATTAAACACAGACATAAAAACATTTACTTTATTTAAGTAAAAAACAAATGTTTTTAAATCAGTTAAAATACTATCAATTTAAAAAGATAAAAGAATTGATGAACATCAATTTTTTTTTTTAAATTTGAATCAATCAATTCATCATTACCCATAGTTTTGGATAAAGTTGACATCACCTTGGTAATCTCTACATTATCCAACTTTGCACATTATCCACAATATATATATATATATCAGTATATATATGAATAAAAATGTTTTCTTAGAATAGTAAATAATTTAAATCAGAATAAATATGTATGTTGGTTCTATAATATGTAGAAAAATTTTATTAATTTTTTTTCTTGAATAATGGAAACATTAAATTTATTATTGCCCGACTGTGTTACTGAATTAAACTACTTGTTACAAAATGAAAATAGTTTGTACAATATTCATAAAAACAATTTAGTTTTTAAAGTAATGTACAACATAAACATAAATACATATAAAATATAATGATAAAATATTCTTTTCTGTTTCAGATTACAAATTTTGTATATACAGTATCATGAAAATCAATTTCATTTTAAATGTAAATACTTTGCTAAATTTACATAAGTATTTGCAAATTTAAAATATACAGGATATAATGATAACTTTATACATAATGTAATCATCTCCCTGGTTATATATTGACTATCTAAGCTGCAAATTTTTTAAAAGGAAACTTTTTTCTATAAAAATATGTAAAAATATTGATAGTAAAAAAATAACTCATTGGATTTTTCATATTAAAATTTGTCATTCAAGTAATTCTCTAGAATAGAATGTAATATTTGCATAGATAGAATATATTAGTTCTAATATCAATTTTGATTTTATTGACAAAATATCTTTTTATTTCTGAAAGCTGTGTTTATGTATGTTTTTTTACATGACATTAAAAATAGGAAAAATGGATAAAGAATTAAAAATGTTTTGTGTAATGTAGTTTGGAATAGTTACTCTATGAATTTAAGGAAATAATTTTGAATTTACAATTCATATACTTTGCAACCTGTAAAACTTGTTCAGAATTATGGAATGAGAACAAACATTTTTTTCTTAATTCAAAAATACCTTATTTTTAATGCTTTTGTGTTTCCTTCCAAAAATCAACTAAGATTTTTTGCAAAAATATTTAGTTTCAAATATTTTAAATATAATAAATTGAATATTATTTTGATTTCAAGTTGAAAAAACTTTAGGAATTTTTCTTTTATCTTCTAAGGATTATAACATTAAATTAGTAAGTTGAACACAACTAATCATGATGCAAACATTAACTTTTCCAATAAAAATTTTGCATTCAAAAGTTTGTATCATGATTAATGTGCAATGTGTTTAATTAATATGCCTCCAAAGTGTCACAAAAATTTTGTATTTTATTATACAAATCTAGACTTACTTTTTAGGTCATACTTAGAAGTAAATGTTAATATTCATGTTAATTAAGATCCATGTTTGGACATACTAATTAAAATTTTGTAAGATGTCGGACTGTATAACAACACATTCTATTTCCAATATGAATCTTCATTCAAAACTAATTAGAAATTCTGTTTTTTTTTTTATTTTTATTTTGTTTATATTTTAAGTTTTTCAAATGTACACTTTTTATTTTTTTCTTTTCTGTTTTTCATAATTTTTTTACTCTTTTAATCTCATTTTCAAATTTTTGTTGAGAACTTATAATAGAAACTATTAAAATACAAATTGATTACATAAGTGTACTTGATGTACTCACTTTATAAAGCCTTGTGCTATAATTGCTTTTGAAAGAAAATAAAACCTAAATTACATTTTAAACGCTTTATGAATAATTTCTATTATATTCTGATTGAGAAAGTGTTACCTTAGCATGCCAAATAAATTTTTATAAATTCAATTATTATTATAATTGAATTTATAAAAAATTAAATAATAATAAAACTCCAAATAATGAATTGTAAAACAAAAATAAAATGAAATAACTAAATTAAATTAAAACCAAATCGACATGGTTTAATTAACACTGGGTTTGGTTTTAATACATCTCATCTATGAATAAATTTTTATTATTAAAATGTATTATGAGACTGTTTCATCAATATTTTGTACTGATATGAAATTATTTCAAAAATTTATTTTCTGTTTTAGCCAGATTTAGTTATTCATTGTGCAGCGCAAAGATTCCCTGATAAAGTTGAAAAGTTTTATGATGAAAGTTACAAACTAAATGTTGAAACTTCAAAAAATTTAGCCAAACTTGCAAGTAAGTATATATCTCTTCTTTATAAAACTCATAAAATACACAAAATTAAGGTAAATGTGATTAATGTTGTATAGACTATATAACACTATGGTAATCTTACATACAGGGTCGGTTTTAGGCTGTTAGCTGCATGCATGCTACATATATTAGGCTGCCCCTATCAATGTTGATTTTGAGTAAATTCATTACCAAACCCAATCTATGAAAGCTTACTAGTATGCTTTATGACAGTTTCATATGGTTGACAAGGGTAAAAAAAATTCATAAAATATTTCATTTATATTTACAGTATTTTAATTTTATTTAAAATCAAGCCACTCCATAGATAACAGCCATCTTTGTTCAAAGTTATATTTTAGCTCTTTCAGAAAATAAAATTTGCCAATTAAAATGAAATTAAAGAAATTTTTTTCATTTAGTATGTAAATATAATNGAAAGTGCAATTTCAGTTTTATTAGATTGTTTATTAAGTAATGTTCCTAAATCAGTATCTGATTATGAAATAAGATATCCATCTCATACAGATGATATTGCATTAATTTGTTTAGAACTAGGAGAAAAGAAACTTCAGGTAAAGTTTTAAAAAATATTTATACTATACTGTATATACATATAGTTTTTTAATTCTAACTTTTTAAGTTTAGCCTTAATGAAAGTTTAGTAATCTGATTTTTAATAACTACAAAGAAAATTTAATGGGGAAAAATAAAGCAAAAGAAAACATGAAATTTGCTAAAAATGTAATCTTGAGTTTTATTTAATATGTAATTATTTTACAAGTTAAAAGTTAGTGACATCACAGGGAACATACATATACTGTACATTTTTTTAAGGTTCTAAAAATATGTTTAAATTAAGTTTTTGCTTTACAAAAATAGTTTGTAAAATACATCAAACTGTTTGCATCAATTATTTAATTTTCAGATGAAAAAAGCACAGTAAATATATTTTTTAAAACTGAAAAATTATATTACATCAACATAATTAACATACAACAGTTAAATATAATATATGCGTATGTGTATATAAAAATTAATTTAAATATGAATATTTAAATTTATAACATTCATAAGCATCTTTTTCTTTATTTAGCCTAAATTTCCTTTTGGTTCTATCAACAATTAACACAATTATCTTCTTAAGATTAACAGTATGAGAATAAAGGTCTATTCACAATAAAAATTAAGCATAAACATAAAGCCTTATGCCTATGTTATTTAATGCAACCATTCACTATTATTTACATAAGTGTAACTTTAAACTTAATCATAAAACATTAACATAAATAAAGATTGGTTATTTATATGAATAAATTGCAGAGCTATGTCACAGTCATTGTGCAAACATCAAACAAAATCAGTTATTTCGTCACTGACTACTATAATCTAATAAAATAATATTAAATTATATTTGAGTTTTATTTTTTAAAGTGCAATATCAGCAGCCCTAGGAATTTGGCACCCCTTCATACATGCATGCACTGCACACTTATCAGAACTGGCCCTGGTAGTATATTTCTATTCTTCATATATACAAATATTCGTCTTGATATTTATTAAAATTTATATAAAATACTTGTATTTTTCACATGATAAATTTTTATTATATATATATTTCAAGTAGATATGNTATATATAAGAGGAATTTTTCATATGGAAACTCAATAAATTAAAAATCAATAAATGATGTTTTATTTTAAAATATGATGATAGTAAAAGATTTAACAGATGGTTTGCAGTATACTGATTGCGGTAAACATCAATATAAATATTTATTTTAAAATATATAATTTTTAAAATAATTTATAAATAATTACTTTTGTTGATATAACCTTCATTAAATTTACAAAAATATTTAGAACTTGCTTTTAGATATGCTGTTTTATTATTAATAATTTCATATATTAATATTTAAATATTATAACTAATAATTTTTATAGTTAATAATAATTTTAATAATTTATTGTAAAAATATTCACATTCTTAAATTAACTAAATGTAACATAGGATGGACAACATTTATACATGAATAGAAAGAACTGTAATGAATGCAGACAAATATGGCAAGAACTGTATTACTCTGTGTTTAACACAACAATTTGTAGTATTTTACAAATCAAAGCAATAAAAAGTCTGATGAAAAAGATATATACGGCAGTTGGACATAAGTGGAGAGTGCTTACCAATACCTAGGCAGAGAGACCTGTCAGTATGGAATATGGCCATCTCAAACTGTAATGCAGCACTCAATGTTTGGCAGGCTCATCATCATAACTTTTTCTAGCTATCACTGCTAGCAATTGTGTTAATCCTAAGTTTTAGATGCATGTATAATAGAATGAAATTATTTACTAATGTGCTAATACACTCATTGCCATAAAAATTATCACACCAAGAAGCAGTTGTCAGAATCAAACAAAATTGTAAATGTGTAAGTGAAGCAGTGATATAAGTAAGTGATTACAAAATGAAAGCAAAAGGATCATTTATTGCAGGAACAGCTACAAATGAGAGGAGGTTCTAGTGCCCTATTGGGCCACTTCTAGCATATGTGATTCACACAATGTGATATGGGCAGGCATGGAGGCATATAGGTGTGCTATGGTGTCCTATGGAATCTCTCAATCCACAGTTGCTGCAAATGGTCCTCTAGTTAGGCCAAACTGCTAGGCTGTCCAACTTGGTGTCCCAGGTGATCCCAGATATGTTTGATAGGTGACAAATCGGGACCAGACAGACCAGGGAAGTATGGCAATGTGCCAGAAGCAGTCCTGTGACATCCTTGCTGTGCATGATCAAGCATTGTCCTGTTGGAAATGGCTCTTGGAATCACTGCCATGAAAGCAACCTATGTGGCTGCAGGATGTCACTAACATAATGTTGGGCTGTCATGGTTCCTTGGATCACTACTAGAGATGACCGGCTGTCATATGTGATGGTACCCCAGACAATCACAGCAGCTGTGGGGGAAGTATGCCATTCCAAAGCATAGGCAGGATTCAGGTGTTACCTTTTCTTTCCAGACACAAACACAGTCATTTTCAGTGTCCAAATTGAATCTGGATTGATTGCTGTAGACAACCCAGTTCCATTCCATTGCGGTCCAATCCTGTAGGAAGCAACATCACTCCAAATGGAGGTGATGGTGAGTGGTGTCAATGGTAACATGTGTAATGGCCACTGTGATACCAAATGTTCCTCACCCAGAAATAGTATGGACAGACAAGGCCCTGTTAATGATGGTGAAAACTATATGATCAGCTATGTGCATACTTGCGGAATACCAGGAAGTCCTCTCAGCTAGTGGTTTGCTCATTTAAAATTATTCTTTTAATTATATCAACAAAAAAAATCTGATAAAATATTTCACATTAAATCTTTAGAACAACACTATACAGTACATATATATATATATGTACAGTACATTGTATGTGTGTTTTTTTTAATTAAAACAAAAAATTTTAAATTTTTAAATTTATTTAATGAGAAATTTATAGTTGATATATCTTATCTTTCATATGAAGATTTTTTACAATATTCATGCATACATTTAACAAAGAAAAAATTTACATTCAAGTTTTAATATTAAAATTTTTAAATTATTTTTTATTAGGTGAAAAAGGGGCAGCCTTTATATTCATTAGTACAGATTATGTTTTTGATGGTACAAATCCCCCGTATAAAGAAAATGATAAGGTTTCTCCAATCAATAAATATGGAAAAACAAAAGCTGATGCTGAAGCTGCAATTGAAGAAGTTAATGATGGTAAATATATTTTATTATTATTATAATTTGAATTTTATTAGAATTTATTTTTATTTAAAATTTTTAAAATTTTAGAAAGTATTATTTTGAGGGTTCCAGTTCTCTATGGAAATGAAGAATACTCTTCAGAAAGTGCAATTTCAGTTTTATTAGATTGTTTATTAAGTAATGTTCCTAAATCAGTATCTGATTATGAAATAAGATATCCATCTCATACAGATGATATTGCATTAATTTGTTTAGAACTAGGAGAAAAGAAACTTCAGGTAAAGTTTTAAAAAATATTTATACTATACTGTATATACATATAGTTTTTTAATTCTAACTTTTTAAGTTTAGCCTTAATGAAAGTTTAGTAATCTGATTTTTAATAACTACAAAGAAAATTTAATGGGGAAAAATAAAGCAAAAGAAAACATGAAATTTGCTAAAAATGTAATCTTGAGTTTTATTTAATATGTAATTATTTTACAAGTTAAAAGTTAGTGACATCACAGGGAACATACATATACTGTACATTTTTTTAAGGTTCTAAAAATATGTTTAAATTAAGTTTTTGCTTTACAAAAATAGTTTGTAAAATACATCAAACTGTTTGCATCAATTATTTAATTTTCAGATGAAAAAAGCACAGTAAATATATTTTTTAAAACTGAAAAATTATATTACATCAACATAATTAACATACAACAGTTACAACAGTTTTTTTTTTTTTTTTTTCATTTTTTAACTTTAACATGTTAAATACTTAAATTTATATTGTCAGACATTACAGACATTATATTTTTAGTTTTAAAATATAAATAATGTCTGACAATGTAAATTTAAATATCTTTCTTATTACAAAGTAAAATACAGAGTACTAGTCTAAGAATGATCTATATCGGGTGGCCAACCTTTTGCATACCATGCGCCAATTTTTTGATAGACGACTTCAGATGCGCAGTGGCCTATCATGAGTGTTAGCCGCTCGAGGCGGAGAAAAATTTCAGTCACCCCTTAATTAGGTATTTCAATTTATAAGACAAAAATTTAGTTTTGCCACAGAACAAGCAATGAAAAATGCGGTGGTAGTGTAGTTACTCGTATAAGATAGTTCTATTTGATATTAGTGGTGTACATGAACACGAATGTATCGTACGAGCAAGAATAAAAAAAAAAAAGGTCAACACGTGTCGTCAAAAAGTTAGTAGTCCAAATCGATTCCCCGACTGTTTAGACGGTAGCACTATCGTGGGACGTTAGCACTGTAAACATTCATGCATACACTGTAATTTACTATGTGGAGAACACTCGTTTTATCTGTAAAGTAGATTGCAACGAATTGTGCATCAAATGAACTTGCCAAGACAGACTATAATAAATTATTTAATACATAAATATAAATTCTATGTAATATTCTTAATTGCAAAAAAGTCAAGTCTGGCAATGTTGCTCAGAACTGACTGAAGCGCCACTTGTAATCGTCTAATGCGCCAAGTTTGGCGCATGCGCCACGTTTTGGCCACCCCTGATCTATATTGACATTGAGTGCTATCAGAGTCAAACAAAAATTCAATAAGAAATTTATATTGTTCTCTAGATATTGTAATAATAATTACTGGTTGATCTTGAATAATTACATATGATGATTATGACTACAGATTTATACTACTCAATTCAGATATTACAGTTTTCATTATACAGTAACAATAAATTATAAATTTTGCATCATAAAAATAATTACATACAGTAATGCAAAGCAATTTGATATTTAACTTTAACAGCCAGTTTTAGAAATACAGTATTTTAAACTACTGATTAAATATTTATAAAACTTCAGTACATAAAAATCATCAAATTTGTCCAATTTATCTAGTTTTTGTTGTCTAAAACAAACCAGAATCATTTATACTATGCTTTATAATTTATTAAATGTCATTTTTTAAAAAAGAAGTTTTGATAAATTAACTTTTCAAAAATAGAAAAAATTTGCAAAACATATCTTCAGTTTTAATTATTCTGAAAAATTGTTTTAATATAGAATTGTTGATACAGTAGAGCCTCGATTATCCGACCTAATTGGGGACTGAGGTTGGTCGGATAATTGAAAAGTCGGATAACCGAAAAATATGAAAAAATCCATTATTAGTGTAGTATATTATTATATCCCATGTAATTAGTATATTAGTATATCGCTATTAATCTACTTTGCGTTGAATTTTCATCTATGTTAAGCCTAACAAAACATTTTTTAAATAATAATCATCGCTATTGTATCGTTAAAAATTAGAAAGTTAAGCCTTGTTTAAACACTGGCTCCCTTTCATGGTCGAATGAGTGTTGCCAGCTAAAACATGTAAAAATAATATTAAAGTAGCCAAGACATAGCCAAATATTGTAGCGCCACATCAATAGCGGAAATTTACCGACTAGGACGGTCGGTTAACCGAGGGGTCGGTTGATAGGGGGTCGGATAATCGAGGCTCTACTGTAGTATTGTTTGATATTTTAAACAAAAATAGATATCAATCATTTTACTATAAACTTTTAGATTAAAAAAAAAGTTTACATAAGACAACTTATTTAGAAAACTAATTATAAAGAAGTGCTTCAAATGTTGATTCCAAAATATTTAAAAATTTTTCTGACTTTCCTGTAGAAAAGAGAGAGAATATACATGGTGAGATCAATTATAATATAATGGGAAGAGATATACTCATCATCTGTTACAACAATGAATATTCTAGCATATGTATTGTAATGTAAATGGGATGAATTGCCTGAACTACTCATTCATTTGCTTATGAATATTTTATAATAAATGAAAGATGTTGCTTGATATAAAATTTACTTGTATAGAAAAATTGGGTTTATTAGTTATTTGAGATAAATTTTATATATATTAAGGAATAACAATAAACTTTTATCTGATACTATACTATACAGTTCATTTAAAATGCCTTATTTAAAAACCTGATGTGAACCTCCAATACACTATGAATATTAATTCACCATTAATATTAATATATTCATTGGTTTTAATTTTTAAAAAGTATTATAAAGAAAATTAATACTTTTATGTAATTGTACATTGTTTTCGAAAATTGCTCCTACTTCAACACTTTCTCTTTATACAACTTCAAAAAGAGAAAGTCTTTTGAAAAATTATTCTCTTGTCACTTTTAACATCTCAAATTATAGTGCCTAAAATACCGTTAGTGTTTTGCTTTGCATTAAGGCTTACATATTTACGTTTGTCACTCGGACTTCTACTAATATCAATGTATCTTTCTTTTTATTTAGGATCCATCCATAAAAGGTATTTATCAATGGTGTGGACTTGAATCTTTAACAAAATATCAGATGGTTAAAATAATGGCCGAAGTATTGGGATTATCCGCAAATCACGTAACTGGTGATCCAAATCCCAGTTCGGGTGCACCTCGTCCACACAATACTCAGTTATGCCGAACGAAATTGGAATCATTAGGCATTAGAAAGCATACAAACTTCAAAGAAGGAATTAAAGAATTTAGTAAATTTTTGAAAAGTAGTTAATATAAAGATTTATTTTTGTGCAAATAAATGTATATTTTATTATTGAATAAAATTGTTAACATTGTTTTAAAATTGAATAGTTTGAGTACGAAGTTAAGCTATTAACTACAGAATCTTTTAATTGGTTATAACTTTATATTATTTATACATATACAGTATTTACTGCATATCTAATATTGTTTATAAATTATTTCGTATGAAATAAATACTTTACATCGGTTACATCGGTAATACTACTAAAAAATTTTGGATGATATATAATGTTGGGGCCGAGTGAATGAAAACCATTGAGTACTGGTCGTGAGTTCACACCTCGGGTTGGTCACGTGAAGTTTTCCGGGTTTTTTCCACCTTGGTAACACACAAATAGTAGCCAGTTTCTCATAAGACCCCGGGAGGCATTCTCCTTGGCAGATTGCTCTTATCGTGTTGCTGTATACAGTACGAATAAAACCAAAATCAAACAAACTATTGTTTGATTTTGGTTTTATTCGTACTTGGTATTATTGGTTTTATTCGTACTATAGTATTGGGCACTATCGACTGTTCACTGATTAGTCTGTTGTTTTCAGTCGAATAAGTTCTATTACACGATTTAGTAGTTCCTTAGTTATAACATACATTATCAGTTATGAAATTTCGATATAGACTATATTTATGATTAAATAGCAAAATACAGTGTTGAAATTGAGGTACAGTTTATCACATTGTAGTACATGACTACAAAAAGAATTTTTGAAGGATCTTCAATTTCCAAAAATCGAGTTGGGGAAATGAAATGAGCGTCCTTCACTTATAAATTTATCAATAATTTAATGTAAACATTTTAAAGAGTACATGTATAGCCTATTTATTTTACATACAGCGGGGAAAAGTAACTAAAAGTCTCTCTCAAATCACAGCTTTCGATATTTATCTCTGCTTTTGTTTGCATTGATATATCATCGGTTAACATTCTCACACCAGCTAGTGGCACTGAGTTTAAAATCAGATCATAAAATCAATTGGAATAAATTTGACTTTTTGTAATTTCGAGTAAGATTTTGAATAAAATTCACTTGTTTCCATGAGTTTTCTTATAAGCATAAATTTAAGCTGTAAAACTTAATTAGCTGTATGAGAAACCTCCGTGAACTTTGACCTATCGTCCCGAATATTTGGCCAGTACCTCACTGATAACGAGAAAGGCTTAAGTTTAAAATTTGAGCTTTCTAGATCCATTAGTTATTTTCTACGAGCGTCTGCACTGTCGGATGAAAAGGAGAAGAAAATACAGCTTGTTTTGAGATTTTTGCACTTTTAAATTGCTTGCATTTCGGCAACCGCTTTATGCAAAATCTTGAAATTTTGCATACTACAAAAAAAAAAAAAAAAAAAAATCCTTCGAACCAGACGAAATACTCGAAATTATAGGTGTTTGGGGGAGGCGGAAAAATCGATCCCCGAAAATCGGCAACTCTAATTCCTGTATATGTTGTCAGTAAGTGACTTTTTTACTCGCCGGGAAGTCATTACCGTGACTCCTGATATAAGACACTAGATTATTGGATCAAGTTTTCTTTTAATAGTAAGGTTTAGGCCGAAGTTTTAAACGCAAAAACGTGTACGTCGGATGTTCAGCGCCACTTTCCTGTAAGCCTAGAAGTTTGACAATGGTGTTTGAATAGTCAGTTTATACTCGACATTTCAAACACCATTGTCAAATTTCTAGGCTTACAGGAAAGTGGCGCTGAACATGCGACGTACACGTTTTCGCGTTTAAAACTTCGGCCTCAACCTCGCTATTATTAAATACAGAACGTCCTCAACAGTGCCGGCCCGAGACAAGTTTTAGGATGGAGCGAGATCCTATTATGGCGCCGGGGGGTGGAACCCCGCCCACGCACTCGACCCACGCGCGTCTCAACAGATAAGGCCATTCACATACTGGCCACAGGCTTGTAATTAAAATATCGAAGAGTGAAAAAAATATTTTTTCCTTTAATTTTCTTTACCACTGAGTCGCCCCCTAGGACTTAGCGCCTGGAGCGGCTGTTTGCCCTATGGTAGGGCCGGCTCTGGTCCTCAATATATGTCATACTTAAGTTCCTAAAACGCGTCGTGAACGAAATGGTGTACATCGAATATCAATTTCTCACCAAGATAATATATTATGTGAGAGATATGGTATATTGTAGACCAACTAAAACAATTTATGTAGAAGTGTCTAGTGTACTGTACAACAACAAACTGTTTATACGGAAGTGTCGCTACTTGTTATACTTTCAAGGCCGAGCGGTCAAGGTGGCAGCCTATCGCTCTGGGGGACCTGGGATCGAATTCGGACGGGTCAAGGAATCCCCAGCAATTTTTCGGGGGTTAGTCCGTTAGGATATGTCGGGCCCCGTCTCTCACCACTCGGTCTCCCCATTGTGGGCCTGGCCGAACCCATAATGGGCCTGCTATAAGAGGCCCTCTTAGTGCCCACAGGGCGGAAAGAGAGAGGGAAAAAAAAGTACAAGGTGACAGCCGGATGTTTGAGCAGTTAATAAAAAGGATTGTTGACGAGATCAGAGTAATTTTTAAAAAAACTTTTCTTTTGAAGATTTTAAAATTACATATATAAATTTATAGTGTATAATTTTATCGTACTTGGAATTTTATTGAATTGTATTTATTGGAATTTTATTGTATTTATTGAAATATACGTAAAATTTTCTTGATTTAACAATTAGACACCAGATGGCGTCTCGCGAGAATGGCTACCGGTGGTTGTCGGTCACTTAGTTTAAAATACAGAAAGACGATAAATAAATGGTTTCTAAATAAAATGAGATATTATTGTAATCAGAATGTTCCTAATTACGCCGTGGACGAAGCAAAATGGGAAAGTGTCGTCGGTTTAGAAATTCACGCTCAAATTTCGTCGCGTTCAAAACTTTTTTCTCGATCGTCTACCGAATTTGCCGCTCTTCCTAACAGTCGAGTGTCGTTTTTCGATGCCGCATTGCCCGGAACTTTACCGGCAAGTAACATTCTATGCCCACGCTTGTATAATTTCTCGTTAATCAAACTAAATGATTGTTTTTGAATGACAGGTTTTGAATCGTTCCTGCGTGGAAAGTGCAGTTTTAACAGCTCTGGCACTTGGATGTACCGTACATAAAGTCTCGCTTTTCGATAGGAAACATTATTTTTATGTTGATTTGCCGGTAAGATGTGCATCCAATGAGGGATTTGGCAACCCCTGGAGGTGTAGAGTCACCCGCTTGAACAAAAAAGTCAATGGAACCGTTCTTCTCGCCTCCCGAGGTTTGGTTTTTACCAAGTGTGCAAGAGGTGTGCTGCCCGTTCTCGTGCTCCACGTGTAATTTTGCACCTCGGCACTAAAACTATATAATGTAGAGTATTCGGCCAACAGTTGAGTGTGCTAAATACCTACGTGAAATACTGGAACAATGCGACCTCCAATTGCGTGTGACCCGGAAGTGGGTCGATTTTGGAGGGTATCTTGCTGATGGTCACGTGTAGAGGCATGGTTCCTTTGACTTTTTTGCTCCCGTGGGTACAGTCTCCAACGAGGTCTCGTTTGAAGGTGTAATTGTACTAATTTGCCTGTGTGAATTATATTAATTTTTCTTTCTTGCAAATAAATATTTTTGCCCAAGTTTAAAACTACTTTATTTACAGGCAGGTTACCAAATCACTCAGCAGAGAAAACCCATTGCCACTGATGGAAAATTAGAATTTGTCGTCTATAATTCTGCAGTTTACAAATCGCCTTTCCTGTGTTCCTCCCGCATTAAACAATTGCAGTTAGAACAAGACAGTGGCAGAAGTCTGCACGATGTCGATGATGGTCGAACTCTGGTAGATTTAAACAGAGCCGGTAATACTGGATTATCCTGCCGTGGTATACTAAGTGAAAACTTAGTATACTCCAACAGGATGTTTGTTTGTCTGTCAAACTTGCACAAAAATCGTTATCGACAATCGTAATACGTCTTTGAAGATTTGACTCATTTAATGAATTAATTCTGTATAAATTATACTGTCTTTTATGATTTTAAATAAAACTTTATAAATTTATGATTGATTTAGGAATAGGACTGATGGAAATAGTATTTGAACCGGATCTCAGAAATGGAGAAGAGGCAGCCGGATTGATTAGAGAACTTCAAAAAATCTTGCAATGTTTGGGAACGTGTTCTGGTTACATGAATGGTAAGTTCTAGTGATTTTTCAAACTGTTGATTTTAGAAAATTAATTAATTATTTTATATCTTTAATTTTTTTTATCAGAATAATTGACTTTTTGTCTGTAAGAAAATATTAAATAATATAGTAACAATAATAAAGATAAACGCTACAAAAATTATAATTTCTAAAGTTTTGTTTCATTAATTGTAATATGTTTGGAATAAATTATTATGAGAATGCATGCAATATTTCATTTCCTTTCAGGTTTTAATACATGGAAGTAAAATTTAAACAATAATTCAAAAATAATTAAATTTTACAATATTCTGATAAAGTTTCCTTATTACAAAATAAAATGTATTCAGTTCTTTTCAAAACTTGTGATGCATGAAAATGTAAACGGTAGACTTTCAATCCAAAAATGAGAGAATATCTTCTAATTAATTGCTGTGTAAATTTAAAACAGTCATTCAATAATTTAACCTTTCAGCATCTCTGCTCTTAAATATCATTCAAATACTTGTGACACTATGTGATTTCATTATAAAGTTTCTTCAACCTGAACAGTCATTTTAAACATTTTTTAATATAATGTGCTTTATACAGTTAATTTTTCAAACTGTCTCAATGTGTGTAAGGCAGAAAGTTTTTAAAAATGCTGAAAAAATTAATACTGCAATTTAGGCTGGATAATTATTTTATATTGGAAAACTATAAAAAATGTAATGAATTTTTTTTCAAAATGTTTTTCTGAATTTAATGATGACAAAAAGTCTTCTAAAGGATTATTATAAGTCTAATAAACTACTTATTAACCAGGTTAAATCCAAAGTAATGGTTTTTCAGAGAGGGAGCAGATTGAGAAAAGCCAATAAATTTTATTTATCTGTCTCTGAGTTAGAGGTTGTCTCATCTTACAAATATTTCAGTATTTATTTTACTCCACAGGGTTTGTTTTCTTTTCACTTAGATAAGTTGTTTTTGAAATATAAACTTCAACTTGCTAATCTAATAAGACTCATGGTTAGAATGAAGCAGTCTTCTATTAATTCATACTTTCGATTGTTTGATTCCTTGATACACTCAAGTTTGAGATTTATGTTTCCTATTTGGGGTCCATTTTTTTTGTTGATAAATTAGAGAAGACTCAACTGAGATTTATAAGATCGATATTTCATATTTATTGTTCAGTGCCTGAACCCATTTTAAGATTCGAATTGAGTCAACCACCAATGGCTATACATTTAGCATTGGCCATTTTTAGATACTGGTTAAAATCTTAGAGCTACCAGAATTTGATCTCAGAAAGTTGGTTAATAATAAATTGAAACTAATAGGTAGTAATCCTTTGGTTGTAACTTGGCCTTCTTTAGTCGAATGTTTATTATCTGATTTAGGTTATTCAATTGCTTATTATTTCCTGATTAAAAAAAAACTTTTTCTGGCTGAACTTTTCCAGATATTAAAAGATAAATACTGGGCTCAAGATATTCTTTATATTGAGCAAAAGTATAGTTTTTTAAACTTCTCTATCTTCCCTATGGACACCTCAAGATTATCAAATTTAAATTATAAGATTAAATCTTTAATAATACAGTTACGACTTAATACCTATACTATTGTATTAAATGGCTTACTCCAATTGTCCTCTATATAGCAGAATTTCTGAAAATGTTAAGAATCATTTGTTTGTATCTTGTGAATACACTGAACACTTAAAGGATATTTTTTTGACAACTGATTTTAATATGATTTGTTTATACGATGATAATTTAAGTTCTGTAATGTTATATAAAATTTATAAATTTTTCTGTTATTCATTAAACATGTTAACATAGTTTTACTAATTTAAGTTATATAATTTATTATTTATTTACAATTATGTATAACAATGTTTGTATTAATAGTGTTGCTACGAGTTCTGTAACCCCTTTGTAAAGGCAAAAGCCATAACAAATAAATGATTGATTGGTAAAAAGTTGAAGTCAAGTTTTATTCAAGTGTGATGAGATTTTTTTAGTTCTTTTGTCTTAATTCAAGAAATAATCAAACAATAGTTTTAATACAGGCAATCTAATTAGCTTTATATAAATATGAATGGTGTTTGTTCATCGATACAATATAAAATAATTTATATTCTCCTTATCTGCAGTTGTATATAATTTTATACTTTTATTTATTCTGAAATGTAGTTTCACTTTAACTATATCCTTTCCAAATTATTGCCACAATTTTTTTTTAAATTGTCATTTTCCCCATATGAGGAATTATAAAACTTTCATCTTTAATTAACTTTTACATGATTAATTCTCATACAAAATTAGGTATAGAATATTTCTGATGAACCTGAAGTATCAGATGAAGCATAATGTAAAAGACAATAATGTAATCTAAGATGGTAAATCATTCAAATTATTTCCACACACTGACAGTGAATTATGCATGAATATGCCATTCATATAATAATCAAAGTGATTGAGTTCAAATGACCATCTCTTACTTGAGAACATAATTCTATTGAATATTTTTTTACTTTTGAAGTATTTTGTTACAACTGTATTTCATTTTCTAGTAAAACATTTTTCTTACATACATGATATGTTTTATACTATCTAATTAGTGTTTAAAGCTAATTATTGCATTTTATTTCATATCATATAAGTAAATCGATGCTTTTACAAGTGGAGTCATTTACTGATTTCACAGGACAGCCTGTTTCAAAATTTCACCTGGTCATTAGAAGGTTAAAAGAAAATAAATAAAATTATAATGTTTTATTCAATATCTATCTATATATAACTAAAGTGAATCTATAAGGTACTTGCATATGAATTAAATTTATAGTTTACATATCATTTTGAAGCTTATTTAATGTAAATTATCCTTCGTGTATCTATTTTGTTTCATTTAAGATAATTAGAAGCAAAAATGTGTCCAATTTCATGCTTACCATAATGATACTTCTCTCTGTCATTCTGGCTATTACCCCATTCTGTATAAAATTGCTCCCGAAAATAACTTCTCCAGTTGACATTCTTTCACTGATTTTCCATTATTTTTAATTTTATGTTATTAACAGAAAGATTATTAAAAATTAAATTTTGTTCAGGATGACTGATATTGTTTCTTTCAAATAAAATAGTGCATAACATAGAGAAAATCTTACAAGTAAGTGAGAAAGAAACAATAAATTATATCCAATTAAATATCATTGAATTAATTTGTTTACAGACATGAATACTGAACTATGAAGTTATTTACACAAAGTTATTATTTAGAGAGTAGTTTTGTAAGCCTTATATTAATAAACTTATTTACTTTATTTTTCCCATTTGTTTGTAATTTAACAACTTTTTACTGCAAATATTTTACTGGGCACAATTAATATATGTATACTAGCTGTTACCCGCAGCTTTGCTCGTGCGGATTTTGCAAGCAAATCCTATTTACATTCAATATTTCAACAACCATAGTAATTGTTATTTAACACCTACCACTGAGAATGGTGAGAATTGCTGAGAATCAAATGAACTGTTTTTATTTGATAAATTTTCTGGAATGTTTACAATCGTTCTATAATCAAATCAATATGCAAAAAGAAATTCGAATTTAAAACAGTTTGAACATTTGGTTAAAAAATCAAAATATATAAAAAATATTTATAACAGTGTCTAAAATGTTATCAATTTAATACCTCTAAGTACTCAATGAAGACTAAACGTAATTAATAACAAAAAATTGCATCTAAAATAGTACAGTATAAGCCGTTCTTCAGGTTAAAACTTAATGCTCTCCCTCTACCCCGCAAGGGAATTTTGAAAAATCTCTTCTTAGTGTGTGTTTTCTTGACATACCCTACTAAAACGCAGTTTAAAACAAAAAATCACATCTAAAATAGTACAGTAGAAGCTGTTCTTCAGGTTAAGCCTTAATGCTCTCCCTCTCCCCCTGCGGGGAATTTCAAAACATCCCTTCTTAGTGTGCATTTTCATGACGTACCCTAACTGTGTACCAAATTTTACCTCTAGGTTCTGGAACTTTCTAGAAAAAACTGGAACATTCTCGTTGAAACGTCACACATTTTTGAAGTCAACCACTTTCAAACCCCATATCTCTCACACTCTTATAGCTATCGAGACACAACCACCATAGTGCATGATGGGAGACTTGGTTGCTATTACCACACACAAACACCCTTCATGTGCGATGTGTAGTTTTGGCTGCACAGTGACATATAGGCACAAACACGTCCATTTTTATATACAGTAATACCCCGAACTTACGCGATAGGTGGGACCGAGCAATAACCGCATAAGTCAAATTCATGTAAGTCAGGGTATAATTTCACAATTTGTGTAAAATCCAAGTCAGATGTATGTAAGCTAATAAATGTTCTCATTAATCTTATCTCGTCTTTTGATTTGTTCATGGTTACAAGAAATCACCACATAGTCTCTCGAGTCTCCGTAGTTATAACAAACACACAAATAACACAAAATAAATTGTAGCTATGTGTTGATTCCACGCAACACGTCTGAACATGTAAGCCGAACAATGGTGTGGGGGAAGTGAGTAATCAAAAGTTGCGTGGCGCTCAAACAAAAGATGAATCGACGAGATTTGAAAATTGCATAAGTCCGGGTAGCGTAAGTCAAGGTATTACTGTATATATATAGATATAAAGAAAAGTTATTTTCAAAATATTCTATTACAAAACATTTTTATTTGTTTTTCTAGAAGGTGCAATGAGAATTGATGCTAATATATCTGTCAATAGACCTGGAGAACCAATGGGAATAAGAACAGAATTAAAAAATATTAACAGTGCCCGTTATGTTGCCAAAGCTATTGGTAATATAACTGTTATTAAACAAATTAATTAAATTTATATTTAATATTAAATTTAAAAATTTTGAAAAAAATTAGCTTATTTATTATTAATTTATAAATTATTTGAATAACATTAATAATTTACAGTTTTTAACTAGATTTTGAAATAAAACGTCAGATTAGATTATTAGAAGCTGGAGAAAATATAAAAAATGAAACAAGAAAGTATGATCATGTAATAAAGTAAGTCATTTTATTCATTTAAAAAGTTATTCTAAGTATTAAAAATAATTATAATTCAAATAAAGATCAGGTTCAGTTCTATTTTTGAATAAAACAAAGATGGCCATCTATATTATTACAAATCATAATAAACAAATATAACATTTTAAAAATTAGCATAAAAATACTCTGTTGTTGAGCTTTCATTTGGTTGTTGAATTCTTTCATTAACTTGCTTGCACCAAAGACATAGTGTCAACCTTTTTCCAAATTCCTCCTTCATTTTGCATTTCCATTCTTCCCATTCTGTTGTTTTACGATCAACAGCTCTGTGCCAATCCATAGCAGCATTTCTTAGTCTAGTTGCTGCCACTGGTCCTCAGCTAGTTTTTTCTGGCTGCCAATCATCTCTATGTGATGAAGCCAATCTTCAACACTTTGATCATTTCCTCCTAAGAAATTAGGCACAGAACCAGTCAAGTCAGGTATTGTCTGAATTTCAATCTTAGCTGCTTCTCTCTTCATCTGTTGAAGTTGCATCATAGTATTCATCATTTGACTTACTTGTTTCTGTGGACATCTGTGTAGTAGTTTCTATATTATGTTACTTTGCCTTTCTAATTCTTATCTTATGCTTTCAGTAAGTCTTGTTAACAATTCTGCTTTATTTCCCATCTTGGACAGTTTTTGCTTTCCTAGTTCATTCTTTAATTGTTCAATAGTCATTCTGTCAATGTCCACCCCATTAAGGATGTAACATCCTTCTTCACTCGAGTAGATATTATCCATTATGATGCTTAAAATAAAAGTTCTGGGACTGCAGTTGTGTCTGATAACATTTTGGTTGCTTGCTTAAGATCACCAATTCTTTCTCATTCTTAAACTTTAAACTTTTTCTTGTCTTACTTTTGCTTTCTTCTACAATTTCTTATAAAAACTTTGTGGCTTACCTGCATGTGACAGTCAAATTGATACAGAATNCAGTTGTGTCTGATAACATTTTGGTTGCTTGCTTAAGATCACCAATTCTTTCTCATTCTTAAACTTTAAACTTTTTCTTGTCTTACTTTTGCTTTCTTCTACAATTTCTTATAAAAACTTTGTGGCTTACCTGCATGTGACAGTCAAATTGATACAGAATATCAGTATTTGTTGACAATTGTTGTAAGACTGATCCTGTTTGAAGAAGATTTGAGTTTTTGTCTTCACATAGATGATTAGCATACATCAATCCTGTTGTCAATTGTGCTAAAACCTGTGGGATCTTTTGTAGAATATACAAAAAACCCTCCAGTTTTAAAAAAAAGAATTAACATTTAATAGATTAGTTATGGCAGACAAAAACTACAATCTTCCTGCTTTTTCTTCTTCTTACACCCCCTTGTATTCAAAAACATATGACTTAATTTTGTAATTTATTGAAATTTGTTATCACAATTATATTGATTTATATCACATTAAATTTTACAATTTGAGCAATAATAATATGATTATGATGTAAAAATAAAAGTTTTCATCATTAGTGTAATGTTTGCATTTATTAACAATTAAATCGTTGAAGATATAAATTTTTACATTTATTTAATTAAAAAATCCATAATAAATATTTTACAAAAATATCTTCATTTCTCAGTTATTGGAAAAAGATAGTTTTTAAAAGTTTCTTTATGAACATTGATTGAAACAAAATGCAGTTTGGATTAATAGAGTAATAATCCAAATGTTAATATCATATAATTTTGATATAAAATAATTTGAAATTTTTAAAACAACTTATAGAATTATTGACATAACATCAAATTGATACAGACAAGTGTTGTGCACTTTATTCTGAAATCCATAATTATCATTTAGGAGTTTATTAATGTTGAAAATTGAAACACTTATATAACAAATTTTCTTATTAAACACAGCTTTTATATTACATGAAATCTTTGTAGGGAGACTGTTTTAATGAGAGAGAAAGAAAATGTACAAGATTATAGATATATGCCAGAACCAAATCTACCACCTCTTAGGTTATATGACGATTTGGATAAAGAGAATTTTAAATTTTCTTCGGATACTATTAACATTGATCATCTGCGAGAAAACATTCCGTTACTACCAGCTGATGAGAGAAAATATCTAATTGAAAAATACAAGCTTCCGTTGAGATCTGCATTACTTTTAATGGTTGGTATTTGAGTTAAACAGAATAAAATAACTTCAGTTTATGTTAATTGCTTTTATGTTTGAATTTATAGAATGAGGATTTACAAGAATTATTCAAAGAAGTGGCCACAGGAATTAAATGCAATATGAAATTTGTATCTCATATATTATTGACAGATATTTTATCACAACTTAACAAACGGAAGTTAAAAACCAGTGAAATGTAGGTATATATATATATATATATATGTTTCTTTGCTTAAATAAGATTCTATAAATTTATTAATTCTATTTTTGTAGATTAATTTCCATAGACAGAATTCAAGAATATATTGAAATGATTGACAACAAAATAGTGACAGCCGCAAAAGCAAAAGATGTCTTACAATTGATGTTTGATGGCGATTCTCGTTTTCCCATAGAAGTCAGATTTATTTATCTAATTATAATATACAGAAAACAGTTATCTTAAAAGAATTTTAATATTTTATAACATTATTTCTTTATTGTAGATTGTTCGGGAAAATAACTGGACAATGATTTCAAATTTAGAAGAGTTAAAAAAGTTTTGCTCTGAAGTGATAAAAAAGAATCCAAATTTGGTAATTTTTCTAATATTGGCTTTATTTTTTTGCTTAGAATAAAATTAAATTTGTATGTTAGGCATTATAATTTTTAATCTGTTCAGCTTCTAATGCAGTTTTTAAAATTGTTTCTTCCCAAGTATTGAATTGTATATACACCTTCTAACATTAACATCCAGACACTTACATTTTGACAAATAATCTGCATTAGTAAATAATTTAATATGCTTTAAAACAGTATAAGTAAACATCATTTACTTATTTATGTCACATTGCTTTCACTTGCATTCAATGTAAAAATTTCATAAATTTGTTTGAAATCATTAAGAAAGTGCAAGTTTCAGTTAAGAACTCCTATTTAAAACTTGTTGACATATTTAAAATAAGAACAAAATATAAGTGGATATGTTAAAGTACTTGCATGCCTATTCTTGTTTGAATTAAACTAAATCAATGCTAAAAGACAGCATGTGTTTTAACTGTGCTAAAACTTTTGGCTTGCATTTTTTTTTTCTTTTGGAAATATCTGATATATTCCATCATTTGACCTTCAAAGAAGTGACCAGTTGCACTTTGTTTTTTAGGATAATCATACACTCAACAATTCAGTTTATTTCAGAACTGTAAGGAATTTCCAATTCTAGAGTAGTCAGTCCAATTTTTCATTGTACATGTTATCAAACTTATTCATAATAAGAGGGCCAAGAATCTATTGAAGACTGCAGATATTTGGGACTGCCATTGACATGCATGATTCCAGAATCTATTGTGAAAGTGTGGGAAATCATCCAAGAAAACCACAAAACTTGCTGGACTGTCATGAGGCATACCAATACATATTGTTTGGATGAATTGAATTTGAAACAAATTGCAGCAAAGTTTGTTCCTTGTCTCTTGAACAATGACCAGTGAGATTATTGAGCTTGAGCATGCACAAAGCTTCGACAAAATGTTAAAAATGACCATGACTTTCTGTCTAAGGTCATAACAGCTGACGAACTGTAGGTATGCTGTTATGACCTCAAAACAAAACAATAGTCTTTGCAATGGAAGATGCCATCTTGTCCATGGCCAAACAAGTGTTCAAGTTGTTGCAACAACATTGTCCATGTTAATTGTTTTTTGACATTGAAGGAGTTTGTTCTGCCCAGCCACTGTCTGCAGAAAATTTTATTAGGATCTTTTGAGACAGTTGAAGGAAAAATAAGTAAGGAGTTAAAGAAGTAAAAAGATGAGGAATAAACAGGGGTCTTTGTTCATCACCTCTTCCTGGACGTTGCATTATGAGAATGCATCTTCACACAATTTACTCATTGTGAGACAATTTCTTACTAAAAGAATACGACCACAATTTTCCTTACTTGGCTTATCTTTCCTTAAAATAAAACACTGCTTTTCAACTGCAGTTTTGACTCCATTGCAGCAATGCAAACAAAAGCAGATTTTCAGAGTGTTTTCAATCATGGAAAGATAACTGGAATTGTTACAGAATCAACTAAATTCCGTGCAAAGAATTGAGTTTTCATTTATGATTCTATAACATCTGCAAATTTATATTGTGTGCCTATAGAATAGATCAATATCTAAATAGATTTATAGTTAAGAATGACAATCAAATACAATATATGATCAATAATTTAAATGCAGAAAGAGATAGCTTAAAGGAAGCAAGACTAGGATGTGCAGGGACATGACATGCAACTAGTCAAATGAAAAAACATTTTGATAATAGGTATATGGGTTTTGATACAGAAAAATGATTTTTGTGATATACAAAAATTTTCCTCAATTTATCTTAGTACCTATACAAGTCTCTAAATATTTCTCATAATGCTTCCAACTTCCTAATGCTATCCAAATTCAACAAATGTTTATTTTTTAAGAAATGGTGCTTAAATGGTTTGTTATTAATATTTACAGTCATCTCCAATTAATTCAAAATCCCATTTAGTTTGAGGCACTTTGGTCACCTTAAATGTATTTCATAATGTTTTTGTTTGTTAAGCTTTTTTGTTAATTTGAAGTGGAACTTTGGTCTCAGAGTAAGTCTGTTCTCTATTAATTTGAAGTGAACAATATTGTTACACTCTTCCTGCTTTTAATTATGGCAAAACTCTATCAATTGAAAAACAATTTTAATGTTTTGTGTATTAAACTTAATCCTGCTTTTTGGCTATGGATTGCTAGTTGTTGACAAACACCTTTCATTCTGGCAATATTCAGAGTTTCTGTTATGTTCTGTACTTAATTTTATTTGAAATAAAGAAATGTTTACTAGAAAACCTCACCGTGTTGCATACATAAAACTCTTAGATATATCCAGGAGAAAACAGTAACAGCTTCCGTAGGATCCATGTTTATTCTATTTTTATAACATAACAACTTATAAACACAATGTTAAATGGCATTTGGTTTTATAATTACTGTAGAATGTCTGGTAAATATTATATAAAATACATTGTGCAATAACACTATGCAATATTTATTTTTAAATATTAAATTATCAAATTTTGAACCAAAAGGGGTAAAGTCCATTTTCAAGTTCTTAAGCAGCAACGACTATATTTGGTTGTGTAGATGTCTAACATGTTAGTTCTATGCACAAATTTGCTTTTATATATTATAGTCAGAGTTGTAACTAGGGTATGGCCAATGTGGCCCCCTGCCATAGGTGCCAATTTAATAAAGGTGCCAACGAGAAGGTTTCTGAATAATATGTATTTGAAATTAATAACACAAGAAAATTTTTATATTTATATATTGACAGTATTTAAATGTCATTTGATAATTTTTTATAATAGCATTTTTTTAGAATAAAATTTATTTTTTTTAATAATAAAAATTAAAAAGGCACTATTTTTATTCTTGGCCATAGGCGTCTAAAATCCTAGTTACGGCTCTGATTATGATTATCTGCAATGCCAACCAAGTTCTATAATGTGTTCTCTTGAATTCAAACTCACAAGATTTGCATATCTTCTTATAAGTTCTTATCTACTTATTAGCTGATCTTTAATGATACAAAATATGTAAATATTTACAAAATAAAAATTATCTAGATTTTCTAAGTTATTTGATCTGTATAGAGTTAATAATAATAATTATTATTATTATTTTTTTAGGTTAAAAAATATCAGAATGGAAAAAGTAAGTTTCTATCAACTCTTGTAAATGAAGTCAAGAAAACATCTGAAAATAGAGCAAATGTACAGATGGTGGAAGAAATCTTAATAACCATGTTGAATTCTTAAAACAGAATTATTTACATGTAAATATATTTGTCCAGATTTTTATTAACTATAAAATAAATACAAATCTTCATACTACACAATAGAATCAGTCTGTTGTGAAATTACAATTATTGTCATTTTATATCACTATTTGCTAGAATGTGAAAAGTTATTTTTTCTCTTTCATGCTTGCAATTGACTAACTTCTTATCTTATTCTAGCAAAATGCTAAATATAGTATTTATTTTGTGTATCACATTCTGGTTTTCTAAAAATTTAGCATTAAAAATGATACTAACCGAAATTTAAATATTTTTCAGAAAAAAACCTATATTCAGGGCTCCCACCAGAAACTAAAAAGTAGGAAAACTTTTTAAAGTAAATATGATACTGAAATATTGCTTTTCTTAATGTAATAAGAAATGAACATCAATGGCACTTAATTCTTTCATTTATTCCCATAGTTTCTAAATATGGAGTTCAGATGCAAAATGTAATATGTCCATTAAGAAAAACTCGATGTATTGCTTAGATTTTAGTTAAATCTACACTCTTGGCATGTTATTATTTGTATGAATCGTCATATTTTGTAAGCAAATGCACTTTAGTAAGTTTTAATTTAACAATCTAATTCCCATTTCCTTTTTTCATAGATAAGTTCATTACTTCAATTTTTTTAAATAATAGACATATTACCTTTTGTATCTGGACTCCTTAAATACATTCTATAATTATATCATAGAATGATTAGCTGACTAAGGAGGCATTATTAGCTACTTGAAATGCATTTTAAGACAGTAAAATTTCATTGTGTCAAGTCATGGATTGATTTGTAATCTTCAGTTAAAAGAAGAAACGAGTTTATTTTTTTCAGATTTACTATCATCACATGTATTGTCATATTCGAAGACAGAGCAAGTATGTCTTGTAAGTACAGTAATTGTAAATTAATTTATGAAATTTAGTAGAAATTTAGCTGGTCACTTACCATATTAAGTGACCAGTTGTAATTCCCCTAATTGTTTCTTAGATAACAATCATTAATTTCTTTTTATTAACTTAATTTCCAGGAGTAAAATTTAAGTGAACAAAACTAAAAATTTTGCATTGCAAATGGAGTCTGTCCTCAAGGTCCAACCAAAACAAACTTTACACGCAAAAAGTAGACAAATAGCCCTATTGTGTTTTGATCAAAACAGAACTTTTAAATAATATCTTGAGAATTATAAAACTAATCAAGTAAATTTAATGAATAAACCTTAATATGATAATTTTATATTTCCTTTAGAGGATGATAGGTCAGAAGGGCATATTAACTAAATTTGACATTTCATAATAAATCAAAAAAGTGGAGCCAAAAGTGAATGTTTTGTACCAACCAAAATGTTGAAAATCACATTTAATTAAAATAGCATTTACATAGTTTCCTAATTGTCTTTTCTTCTGTAAATTCACATTTTAGTTTATATGTTCTGACCTTTGATCACCCTTGGTTATTAAATGAATTTAACATTTAATTAAAAGTTTATCCTTTTCTGCAAAAGCATTTTAAGTTGAAAGTGAATTTTCTGTATTGATAGAAACTATTTATTATTTTTCAGTAAGAATATTTGATGTCAAAATTTCATTATCAATATCTTTTCCATCAATAAATGTAATATCATTCACTGCATTACAAATTCTAAACATGATCTAGAGAACTGATGAAAGAAATTTGCATTCAAGGAGATAATCTAGAAAAATTAATCACCTCTAACATTGAATCTTTTAAAGAAATGAATGAATGATTTCATTTTTTCTTTCCTGGCTGTTATGTATGGCAATCGATCAAAAATGACCCTCCAAGATTTTTGGACACTTTTGGACTCCGGATACCTTGGATCTTTGAGAAATAGAAAATAATTCGGGGATTGTTAATGTGTTACGATTTTGTTTAACCTCTTTGAAGCTTAATAATGCCTGTGCTTTGTTGAAAATTTCTGAAATTTTGCAGGACTTGATGATGATTTTATTTATTAGCATTTATAATTTTTTATAAAACCTATCCCTACCCTCAAAATTAAACATTTTGCCATTTTTAATAGAATATAACAGGCGGTGCTACCGAATGTTGCCGGGGAAAGTTAATCAACTCATTGCTGGATTTTTTGTTCCTTGATTGGCAAAAGGTCTTAAATGGATCAGATTCCAAAGTTAAAAATTAATAGTTATAGAAAGTCTATTCGTTGATGGTTGTGTGACATCCAAAGAAGGGAGTGAAAAAAACAAAGAGAATAATTAGAAGTAATAATAATTAAATAAATTAAGAATTAATTTTTTTCGATGTAGAAATCGGAGATCAAAAGGTCAAATGAGGAAAGGATGACAAAACCCACACACTTCCTATTTCGTCTGATTTTGAAACTGATAAAGTCGATCATCTGATCATACAAAGTAAGAATTATTACTAAGGTTGCAAGACAAACTCTGACCTTAGTCACCTCCAGCCATTAATTCAGTTTGTTTGACAGCTGTTATCAAATTTATGAGGTAGAATGAGTAATCATACCAGATAGAAAGAGGTAATAAATTTGTTGAAATGTTCAATTTCTGACAATTAACATAAACAACACCCGGACACAAATCGAACTTAGAATGGGTTACATCATACATAGCATTAGTCAGCTCTACCAAAAATGGGTATAAAAAGTGCTTGGACACAGTCTTCATGCGGACATCAACAGTGGACACCAGACCTGTCCCGCCATAATTGCTGTCTCTCTGCCAAGATGATCCTGACCTGAATGAAAGGAAGACTACTGGTCAACTATGCCAATCCAGGAGTGTTTCACTGACATCCCATACAATGAGATCAGGAACCATCGATCTATGAGGTATATTATCTGTAAAATTGTAAACTCTCTCTCGGTTCTTTAGCTATAAGTAGCAGTAACGTGTCCTCTGAATCTAGGTTTAGTGTATATTAAATGTTATAGTCTGGATTAACCTGTCACCCTGTCTAATTATTCAGTAACCTTGTCAACTTACTCACACCTCCCCACTCGATTTTGCCCTCCTAAAGCCATCCAAAAGATAAAGTGAGCAAGTTTTACCAACTCCACATGTAAGAGGCAATTAGGGTACTGCCCCTGTATTCTCACAGTTGGATGTTTCAGTAAAATGAGATGTTAATTGTAATTCTAACTCATCATAAATTTAGTAAATAGTGAAAGTATAATTACAGAAAAATGTTTTCTAGATTTTAATATTTATATAATATAAAAACTTAATTATTCTCTCTCTCCCCTCAACCAATAGTTGGTGGGCAATCATGGATTGTATGCAGTCTTAAACAGATAGCTAAGCAAAGAGAGAAGCTATATTTGTTGATAAGGTGTCTTCCATGTCCTCTTTTGCCCTCTATCTTTCCTTCCAATAAAACATTCATCCATTTCAAGTGTCAAATTAGGTGGCCAATCATGTCATTTTTCCTTTCCTCTATCTTTCTCAAAATTCTCTTCTCTGTTTATGACACTCACATCATTCTTTGCCAGCACCACATCTAAAAGCCTTCAGTTTTCTGTTCTCTGCTGTTCGGAGTGACCATGTCTGTGAATCGTACAATGCTGTGTTCCAGATGAAACTCTTAATGAATCGTTTCCTACAGAATGCCTGTTTTGCTTGGCTATTCTCATTGTAACATCTCATTTCACTCCTTCTATCTGAGGTAATTATGCTTCCTAGGTATGTGAACTCATTGACTTCTATTTCTTTTTTACTGTCCAAATAGATATTCATTCCTCCTTGTTCTTTGTTTTTTTTAACATCTCGTGATCTTTGTTTTTTCCTATTTATTCTAATCCCACATCTTTTAAATTTTCAAGAGCTATCTGTAGATCATCTACATCTTACGCTATCATTTGATGTCATCAGCAAATCTTATCATGCTGTACAACTTTCTGTTCACTTTTATACCTTATACATATAAATAAGCAATGAAAGAATTCTATATATGTTGAACAATAGTGGTGCTAGTCTTTAACCTTGTCTTACTCCTTTCATTATATTGGCTTCTTCTCTTCCTAAAACCACAGTTTGATTCTTGTATAGCTGATATAGTATTCGCCTATCTGTAGTCTATGTTCAGATCACTGAGGAACCCGAAGGTATGTTCCAGTCCACATTGTCAAAAGCCTTCTCTATGTCTAAAAACTCTGAGTGCTTGCCTTTTTACACGAATAAGCTGTTCGATGAGCATCCTTAGACTTAGTATAGCTTCTTGTTTACCTTTGTTTCATCTGAAAACAAATTGGTCTTTTGATAGATTATTCTACACAGAATTTTCGATGTGTGTGAGACTAAACTTAGTGTTCTGTGCTCCTTTCTTCTTTGGAATTGGAACCATTATGTTCTTTTCAAAATGTTTTGGCACTTGGCCAATTATATACATTTTGTTGATGAATTTGTAGTGGTTGTTATAATGGCTCTAGGAGAAAACACTTAAACGTTCTAAGGGTTATTATTCTTAAGGGTTCTGGTGTCTTATCAAATTTGCATTTTAAGATTGATGCAAATGATTTGGGACCATCAATCAGTGTCTCATCCAACTTGTCCCCTTTGTAAAGTTCTTCAATGTATTCCTACCATCGTTGTGTGACTTGTTTTTTCTCGATTAGGATATTTCCCTATATATATCCTTCCCTCACCAAACTATTAATTATTAACCCTGGTTATCTAAAATCAACCCATTTTATCTTATTAAAAAATTAGTAATGATTAAAATAGATTTTAGACTAGGTTCTAGAATAAGAATGGAAAAACATAAAACAGATCAAGAAAACTGTACAAAAATATTTTATTAAAAATAATTGACATTATCTTTTCAATACTTTGATAAAAACATCCCTAGGAACTTGTATTTTGCCTATCATTCTCATTCTTTTCTTTCCTTCAGCCTGACGCTTAAGCAACTTCATTTTCCTAGTTATGTCACCACCATACTAAATGAAAAATAAATAAAATTTATTAATAATTAAACATTTGAAAGTATAAAGTATTCAAAATAGTACAAGTGATTAATTATTGAGAGATCATCACAATGCATTCATCTCAAATTAGTATCCCCTGTAAATTATACTTTTTCTTTAACAATAGAGTTGTGCTGATCATCTATTAATTAACTGCTTTCAGGAGAAAACTTTTGCATTGAAATAATGACTTCTGGTGCTAACCAAAAGTTCATACTCGTATATAGTCAATTGAGGTTTCCATATCTATCTAATTTTATTCTCAAGATTAAGGAAAGACAGACAGACGGATGGATGACATTGGGAATTTATAGGTCTATAATTTTTTTCACATTGCAGCCCAATAAAATGGATGGGTTTGTTTAACTATAGACATCTTTTGAAGTTTTAGTTTGCTTGTCTACAGGATTTGTTAAATTTAAGTTTCTTATGCGAGGTACAATACATGGTCCAATATATATGATTTTGTGGCCCAAATATGCAATTTTTACCTATTTCTGTGATTGCATAAATTGACTATTTCAGATTTGTACAATATTTTAGTTTAAAATCTATCATTCATCAGAATATAACACGGACAGGCTAATTTATTGACAACAAACATAAAATCCTTTTAACAGTTTTAACTTTCTTTTGTGCATTTTTCAATTTTTAGAATAATAGCAGAATGAGAAAGGAGACAAAATATCAAGCAATTAAAGCATTAGAAGAGGAGAAAAATCACATAGATGTTTGTAACCAGTTAAGAGGCTATATACATATGTGCACATGCAAGTAGAGTGTTCACTTAAACATCTATCCAGAGGGAAAAATGATCTTTTCAGCATAGGTTAGGTTGTGGACTGCAGCAGACAAAAATACGCTATGTATTATTCTGCCATAATAAACATACCCATTCTGCTGCTATCTGTAGCCAGCACAACATGCAGAAGATGCTGCACATCAATTTGAAATGCAGTGTGGTGTTAAATTTACAGCATGATTTACCACAACTACTTCAGCAAATTTTATAGACCAACAAGGCACTATTTTTCCAGAATGGAGTATATAATTGTCACAATGTACCATACATTATAGGGCAGAGGCATGCTTCACGCTTCACAATATATGTAACACCAAGTGTTTTAACCTAAATACCTTGTGTGGAATTTGGGATGAACAGTTTCTTAGTCCTATATTCACTGATGGCATCCTTAAAAGTGACCAATATCTGAACATCCTAAACATAATGGTGGATAAATGGCTGGATGACTTGTTATTAACACAACAGGTCTGTGATATAGTGACATCAGATCCATACATGCCATCCATAGCATCATGCTCAAGTGTCTACATCTTTGTTCAAAATGACTGCCTTCAGCAGCAATACATTTTCTCTAACAAAATAAAGCCAACATTGCAGAATTTGATTTAAAAAGTGAGCTTTATAGTCAGATTATTTGTATGTTATGCTATAAATCATATTAAACTGATTCCCTCTGGTTATTTTAATGCTGGAGCAAGCATGCACAAGATGTATACACTTGTGCAATGCTGAAAAGATACTTTTTGCTCCTGGATAGATGTTTAAGTGGACACCCTGTATACCTATGGTATTGCAATGCTATCAAGAATAACCCAATTTTCCTAGTATTGATCATGATATAGTTAAAGATTTTTCTTTAATCTGAACAATTCATCAAAGATATAGATATTGATTTTATTCCATCAATGGTTTACCTACAAGCACATTTGTGGTAAAAAGTGCTGTTATATTGCAAAATAGAAAATTGGAAAAAGCAAACTCAAACTATCCTAGAAGAAAATTGTCCTACTAGGAAAATAATGCCAATGAACTGACTTATTTTTCAAGTGTGCCCTGAATAAAACTTATCACTTTCAACTATGTTTGCAGCCATTAGAACAGTTATGTGGTCTTTTGGTTGTTTTCCTCCTTTACATGTATAAGATCAGTTTATTTGGCTTTTTTTATTTTCCAATGATGTTTCAAGAATGTAAAACAACTTTCTTTAGCTTATAGTGCAAACAGAAAGACTTGGATGTTTTTGCCAGTGTTTGCAGCATAGCTATACCAGTTTGATCTTAAAATGGTAAGGCTCTAACTGCTCTGTATATCCATATGTCTGGGACTTGGCAATCAAACTGATTTTTCTCCTCTCCGACTTGCCCTATTTATGTCAACTTTTTCCTTATGAGCATCATGTGATAGTAAAATTTTACTAATTGCATGACATCAGGGAAGTTCAAATTGTAACTTTTGCCAGCTTCAAGATTAAAAATAATTCCTTGATGCATGGGTTAAGACAAAAACTGTTTGTAACTGTTTTGAGTGTACCTTCCAGATATTAACATCACTTCATTTGATCAGGATGATGATCCCAAATTCTACTCAGTTATTGAAATGCAACAGAAAGAGTTTGAGAAAGAAACAATTGTAGTTGATGATTGAGCTGTATGTTCTGCACTGTGCACAAATGAAAAAAAAGCTTAGATATTGTAATCAACACCCATTGAACCAAAGATGAGGAAGGAAAAAATAATCTATTATACCATCTACTGTAAAAAACTTTAAATGTATTTTCTAAGAATGTAAATAGCATCTTATTGTCAAATGATGATGGAAAATATTCTTTGCCATATTAACATTGTTGGAAATACAACTGAAAAAATTGAAGCGATGGGAATTTCTTTTTATTCGTTAAACATACAAAAGTTACTCATAATTGACATAAAGAAAATATTATTTCTACATCAGAAACTAAACTGTTTGCATCTTTCAGAAAAAAAAATTCTATTTAAACAACTAATTTATAATTGACATTATATTCAAAAATGATACTTCTGGTGTTGTTTTCAAAATAAATAATTTATATTGCACAAAGTTGTCAAAAATTATGGTATAATTGCAAAGCACACATGGAAAATCTGATATAAATTTTTATGGTGGAAAAAACAAATTTAACAGAAAGAATATAGAAAGAAGATAATTTAAATTTAACAGAAAGAATATAGAAAGAAGATAATTTAAAATGGTCAAAAACATTAGCAAGTTTTGCTGGATTGATATGGCATTAGGTGTATTATATATACTTTTATCCAGTTTGTTCATTTTGTTATGAAGAAAATATACTTCATTTATATTAAAACAATATTTTACAAAGAGAAATAAAACATTATGAATTAAACATAGAATATACGTATTTCAAACTGATATATTTAATAAACTGTAAGACATACAACTATGGAACTTGGGACACATATTTATGAAACACTCTAGTTTAGATTACAGGTGTTCAATATGTCCTCCACCAGCGACATGAACGGTCTGGGCTTCATAACTAACCTGCGTCTCAAAACACGCCAAACTGTTGTTTTAGGCAGCTGCAATTCCCGACTGGCACGACGTGTTGATTTTGAAGGGCTACGTTGGTAAGCAGCTTGAATCCGTGCGACGTTTTCTTCAGATACACGAGGTCGGCCAGGACTCTTTCCTTTACATACACAACCTGTGTCAACAAACTGACGGTACCATCTGCGAATGTTCCATCCATTCGGAGGATCAATTTCGTACCTCAACCGGAAACGTCTTTGCACTGTAATCACGGAATTACACTTCGCAAGCTCAAGAATACAAAAGCTTTTGTGCTGTGGCGTAGCCATTTTACAACAACTGTGAATACGTCATTGTAACCAAGCACAACTGACATCTGGGGACAAACTAGACAATGCACTCATTCCTCCGATACCCGCAGCACACTGCTACTATCGATAGTTTAATAAATATATCAGTTTGAAATACGTATATTCTTTTTGGTCCATCCTGTATTATTTAATGAAAAAAAAAATTTAAAGTATATATATGATCTGATTAGGCATATAATAAAAATACAAAAGCAAATATCAATTTTTAAATACATATACAAATAATTAACAATGAATAATTCATTAATAATAAATAATTTTAAGTTTAAAAGAAGACAAGAAGATAAAACATTTTTTGTAATAATTAATTATCTATTTAACAAAAATAATAATAATTTTTTAAAAAATTAAGTTATTACTTACACATTTTGCTAATACATTTTTACGCAGTGCCTTAATATTTTCTCGAAATATGATTTTCCCACCAACTGCTGCTTGTATGGCAATTTCAAACTGTTGTTGTGGTATAGTTTCTTTTAATCTCAAACAGATATTTTGCCCAATTTGACGTGATTTTGAAGTATGTACAATAGTAGTTAATTCATCTACTTGCTGTCCATTTAATAAAATATTCATCTACAAATAAAATCAGGTTTTTAGAAGGGAATGTTCTGTTACAACTATCATCAATTTAAATGAATATTAGGTAAATCCATGTTTCAATAGAAACAGGATATATTCAAAACATAAATTTTAATTTACTTGTGAGCACTATATTGGCCTTTATTGCTAGACTTATTACACTACCACAGGACATCAGATTAGCCTTAGAAAATCATTTTATTATTTCAAAAAGGAGAGGGACTTAAGGTCCAAAATGCATTCTTTTTGAAATAATAAAATGATTTTCTAAGGCTAATCTGATGTCCTGTGGTAGTGTAATAAGTCTAGCAATAAAGAAAGGCCAATATAGTGCTCACAAGTAAATATGAAGACTAGACAAGAAGGTATCATAAAAAATATTAACATTAAATTTTATACTGAGTTAATTGAAGAGAGAGACTACAAAAAAAAATTTTTTTTTTTGGACAGACATCATTTATTCACTTCACGTGTTCCAGAATACATGAAGTGAATAAATGGTGTCTACAAAAAATATTATCTGACGAAATTCCAAAGTTAATATTTTTATGTAAAGTCTGAACTTATAAGCCTATATTACTATTAAACTTTTATGTCAATTTTTTTAAACTGCATATATACTTATCTTTAAAATTTTAGAAACAGTATTAATAATTACTAACATACATATATACATACACACAATAAAATGTCTTTTGGTTATAATAATACATTAAGATATATTGAAACTTCATAATGTATGTATTTTGGCTACCATTTATATGAGAAAAATAATTTGCATTTGTCTCAACAAAATAATATGTAGAAAAAGTCTCAAGTTACATTCCAAATATAAGTGGTTAGAATGTTAGAATTGTATAGACATTTTAAAAAGCACCCTATGTCACAAAATGGAATATGCATAGCTGGCTCTGGAAGTGGCATCATAGCATCATGTCTACTACTACTAATGCAGAAAGCCCAAACACACTTTTCTGACATCACTTATGTAAATTGAAGAATTGATTACTAATAGTGTCACAGAGTTTATTAAAAATATATTACAATTGATTCCTTGTTTATTCTAAATTTTTGTCTGCATTTCTTAAAATAAATCCCTTTATTGCTGCATATTTATCCTGCAGTACAGTAAACATAATGTTTGCTTTACAGCATGTACATTTTTCATGTCAATGCATATATATTAACTATTTGGTGACCATAAAGCAATGTATAAACATTTTATATCATAATGTGATAGTTTGTAATTTACATATAGATGTTATATTGTGTTTTATTTATTTTTTGGAAATTAGTTTGAAGTTTTGGGTTGATGATGTAATACATTGTAATTTTTTCCATTTAAAATAATGGGAAATAGTATCCTAATTAATGTTTTCCTGTAATCAATCTATTTTTTAGGAATAGATTGATGACATTACAGTCGCCTTCCCTATAACGCGGTAGATACATTCCACTTTATAAGAATTTCACGTTGTAGGAATCCTTAAATATATGAGTCAATCACAGCCCAGCACGTGTGCAGTTTACAGACTACGGCTGTTTGAAAGGTTTTCTTCCATAAAATTAATCGATTCTAGACTAATTTGACTCAACATTTCCAAAACACGTATCATTTTTTGGGAATAATCTGTATAAACTATGCTATAAACAAAAAATTGTAGGATTACTTACTGAGTGTGCATCGTTCAACGATGCCATTGCTTAAGCTTGCATCACGGAGCAGGGCACCAAACGGTGGGTGCGTTTTCTAATAAGTTATTTTTCTGTGAAAAATTCATTGAACTTTGGAGACATCATTAATAGAAATAATTTTTATGGCCGTTGAATAAGAAATGTTTTTTTTCACAAGAAATGTATAAAATTACAGTACTGTATTACACTTACAGTACCTAATTTATATACTGTGCAGACAATAGTAAACCCAACTTACCCGCCTAAACTCTCTGTAGCGTGTAAGTAGTTCGGCTGCTCGTCCACTATTGGTCCAGATTTGACCAATCCTGTTGCGACATGAGTCGATGATGACGTTTTATCGCATTTTACGAGTCTCTTTTAGCATCTTTATATGAATAGAGTTGCAATTTTTTCGCCGTGATATACGAATCCGCATTATATGAACCCGCGTTATGGAGGGGTCGACTGTATTACTAACAATATTATACATATATAATATACATAGTTATTCAGAAAGATTCTGTTTTTCTTTGTTCAAATCTTATTTCATGTACTTTTCAAAATAAATTACAAGTCAATGTAAAAAACATTAAGATGATTTTGCTAAAGTATTTTTCTACAACGAATATTTTTATGTTTAAATCATGCATTTACGTATTAATATATCATCAATTAATTAAATTCAATTTTATTTATATGATTGTAAACCACTCTCTATAATCCATTTTACTTGTTAAACATATAGCAATGATTCCCAATTGGTGTGTTGTGGTACACTTATAAATTGCAAGGCAAATAAAAAAAATTAAAATGACAAATGCTAAATTTGTAAAAAAAACAATAAAATGTACTTCTATGTGTTATCAGCTATATTTCAGAAGTTTGTACTGTACCAGTAAACTATCATAGGAAAAACATTAGACTCCATGATCAGTCTGTTGAGCTGTCCAGTAATATTTAATAATGAAGTGTGTTGCAACCTTCACATGATTGTTAAGTGTGCTATAGATCCAAAAATGTTGGAACCACTGGATTATAAGCTCTTAACTCTAGTACACAGTAAAAATGATAAAAGCTATAGAATAAAGTAATAAAATGAGCACAATATAATAAAGATAAATTTATAATGATAAATTTGAGTGTTATTTATGTATATATATTTAGCATACCAGTAATTATTATAATTTAATGATTTAATAATAAAGAAAAATTGATTTTTCAAGTTAAGGTTTGTCAATTTATTAATGTATTTTCATAACAATTTCACAGAATTATCTTATTATAGTCATTAACAATGATGAAAACTAAAACTTTAAATAAAATTTTAAAAATTTCTTACTTTTACTAATGTACTTGATTCATATCCAGCTTCTTCATAATCAAAACTACAAAAAGATAATTATTCAGTTTTCTAATAATTACATTTAATTAATATAAACTTTATCTATGATGTTAATTCAATACCTAGCATATCCAGATGAAATAGACTTTAATTCATCATAAAAGTCAACAATAACTTCATTCAAAGGAAACTTGTATTGTAACATAATATGATTATCATCTATAGCCTGGGAAGTTTTCTGAATTCCTCTTCTTTCCTTTAAAAAAAGCAAGGATGTCTTATTGTAAATTATCTCGGTTTTGTTGATATGTTATTTAGTAAAAATACTTCTATATTTAACATTATTCAATTTTTAAGTTAAATAGTCTATTAATTATACATTTATAAATAAAATGTCTATAATCAAAATTCATACTTTTGATACATTTACAATATCACAGAAAATAGTATTATGCAAAAATTATTCAGGCATAAAAATCAATATAGATTAAAAAATTAAAATCAGAAATAAAATCTATAACTTACTTTTTGTATAAAAAGGATTATTAAAGTTTTAGGGTCAATAAATCTTTTCCTCCATTTTTTTTTTGTTATGTATCTTAGCAAGATGCTGCTGAAGTTTTCAACGTGAAAACGTGTACATTGGACGTTCAGCACTGCCATCTGTAAACCTAGAAGTTTGACAATGGCATTTAGAATGTCAAGCATGATTCCACTGACGTTCCAAATGCCATTGTCAAACTTCAGCAGCATCTTGCTAAGATTACAGGATATCCGATGTACACGTTTTCGCATTGAAAACTTCAGCTGCAAATTCACTAATGTTTATACTAACTTATAAACCTAACTACTATCTGAATTTTTGATTATCTGAATCATTTTGGATAAATAAACTATATTGTTACAGTATGTTAACTTATTGTTCAATCAATAGACTACTTAAAATAATTCTATAACAAAAATAATAAGATTAAACATATATTCAATTAGTTATAATCAATAAAACAAGTATAATTTCTTCACTAGCTAAAATTGTTAATAAATAAGAAAAACAAAATATAATTTGTGTATAAACTATATGTCTATAAAAAACAAATCAAAACATACACCAAAAAGTTTTGATTCTAGGACATTCAAATTCATAACTTACAGTAACATAATGGTAATTCTTGTTAGAATAAATACATCTTAATAATTAAATTTCATTTAGAAGATAAATAAAGTCTCCAATTACATATATTATAAAATAAACAGAGCTGTGAGCAAATAAACACATTTATAAAGCTATCATCAAACTTCAAATGAAAACTGCAATTTGAATTTTATTATATTTGAATTAATTCAAAAATAGAATATTAAAATTTTCTGTTAGGTATTCTAATTTTATAAGTTATTATATGAAAAAATTATATGTTGTATCCAATTACAATACAGTAGAGCGTTGATTTTCCGAATCAATTGGGGACTGGGGTTGTTCGTATAACTGATATTTCGGATAACCAATTTATGTACGAAAAAATAGTTTAACGTATCCGATGTTAAAATTTTTATCCATTGCATGTCGCTTTGCGTTGAATTTTTGTCGATGCCTAACAAAGACTATTGCATCGTTAAAAATTATTTTTTTTATTTTGTACAAACAAAATAAATATATTGAAAAATATAAAAACAATAAAAAATTATACTTCAGATGTTAATTTAGTATCAAAAACGTAAAATATTTGAGTACAAGACATAGCCAAAGATTGAAGCGCCACAGCACTGGCGAAAATTTAAATTTGCCGACTGGAATTCTTTCGGATGATTGACTTTCGGAAAATCGACGCTCTACTGTATTTATCAAAAGATATATTTAATTTTACTGTATTTTAATGCACATTTCAATAAGTATAATTCTATTTTTGAAATTTTTAAAATTTAATTTAAATAGAAACTGTGATAGAAAATAAGAATAGAACAGAATTCTTATAGGTTTAATAAATAATATTAAAGTTGCAAATATAAAAGTACTTGATCTTTCATTTACTTGCATATTTGCAAGTGATATTCACAATCCTCTTTAAATAATTATATAACAAATTCAATAAAACATTATTTTTATATACTATATTAGATAACAGAAAGATTTTTCTAATTATAAATTGCATATTAATACAAACTTTTATTGAAAATTTTAGAAATCTTAGTTATAATTTACACTTACCATACATATTTTCATAATGCTTCCAACATAAATCACAGGAGTAATAATTGTTCCAATTACCATTGGTTCAAAATATTCAGAAATATCTTTTGGGTCAGGCAACTAAAGTATAATTTATTAATAATATTAAATCATCATTCAAATACTTAAGAATATTCTAATAATTTTCTAAACTATATAAACAATTATTATTTTCTAATTTAAACTTAAAACATCAACTAGGACTTATCATATTGGATAACTGGTTCTGCAAATTAAGTAAACAAAGTCAGAAAATGTTCAAGGGAAGGTGAAAACTCAATGATCAGGAATATGTTTGAATCAATACTATTGAAATTTGCATTAAATATTGTCAGTCTTGAAGATGTACTTAAAAACTCAGGAATTAGAATGTCTATGGTAAACCTGTTGATGAGGGACCAACAGGTCTGAACACAAAGATATCATGTACATGTTCAGGTGATAAATAAAGACTGTTTTTCTGACTTTGTTTATTTAATTTGCAGAACCAGTTATCTATTATTAGGACTTATTATACTGTATAAGTCCTAGTTGATGTTTTAAGTTTAAATTAATAAATTAAGGACACAAAGGCATTTAAATTTGAATTATTATTTTCATTTAAAATTTGATATTTAAACCAATATTGGTATTAAAATTTCATAAAATCTCAAAATTCTCTAATTATATCAGATCATTGTCATTTTGAATTAAAACAAACTGTTTCCATTTCTTAATATAGACTAGTATGCTATTCACGCCAAGTAATTATAATTAGTAGTAAAAACTCACTGTGTTTGGCGTTATTGCTCGTTTTTTCCCGTTTATTCAAGCGCTTTCGACGAATATATATTTCCGTCGTCTTCAGGTAAAGATGTTTTAATCGAAGATGGACGTTCGATAAAAGAACACATAAATTTAAAATTAAATAATTTTTCCATATGATTCTGCAACGGTTTGAATTACGTGCGATGTTACGAATACGATGTAATACGGCGCATGCGTGTACTGCTTCCTGTCAGTGACGTGATATATGATGTAACTCGCCGTTTAATCGCTTATATAGAGCGATCCATATATTTGGCAGCTCCAGAGTAGGTGTGTTGCACGAATCAAATGTTGTTATATATAATGACTCCCATATGTAGAGTAGTCTTCGGTTGTTGCATGCCCTGAGTATGGTGGAGTGGGCCCATAATGGGTTATAATTCATGTCGCACACTCTTCTTGCGAGCTCAGTGTTGCACCTTCTTTTTGCTATATCATCTTGGTGTTCGGTCAGGCGGGTAGCCAACATTCTTGCTGTGGCCCCAATATATCTCGTGTTATTCCGAGATATATTGGGTTACCTTTACCCACTGCTCTATTTACGATATGTGGATGATATCCTCATAGCCTGGGAGGGCACCGATGAAGCCTTTTGCACCTTCATGCAGCACATTTCTAGTGTATATCCCTCCATCAATTTTACGTGGGAAAAAGAAAGTAGTGCGGCTATAACTTTCTTGGATCTATGCATACGCAGAACATCGGAAACATTACTTTTTTCGGTTCAACATAAGTTTAACATGCTACCGTACATCATCCCGGCAAATGCATTCCAACCTGCACGTTATGTGGATGCCGCCATAACCGCCCTACTAAGAAGAGCGTTTTTGCTGCCATCAACACAAGATCTCATAAACAGTGAATTAAACAATATTAGTTTAGCAGTACGTGCAGCGGGTTTCTCACGTGCTAAGTACACACATGTGCTCAACAAAGTCAAGAGGACGCTATTTCCAATCTCTACGCTAACCAACAGGAGGGAAGTTATGTACGTACAACCGGCCTTACCATACCTCGGTCCACTTTCTCTACGCATTTGCCGCATATTTAAACAACATGGTCTGCTCCTGCCCCTGTCTCCGTTACCTAATTTGCGCAGATTGCTCTGCAATGACCGAGACAAGCTTTCCACCCTTGAGAAGTCAGGAATTTATGCGGTTCCGTTAGAAAATCCCGTAACGGGGAATAACACGAGATATATTGGGGCCACAGCAAGAATGTTGGCTACCCGCCTGACCGAACACCAAGATGATATAGCAAAAAGAAGGTGCAACACTGAGCTCGCAAGAAGAGTGTGCGACATGAATTATAACCCATTATGGGCCCACTCCACCATACTCAGGGCATGCAACAACCGAAGACTACTCTATATATGGGAGTCATTATATATAACAACATTTGATTCGTGCAACACACCTACTCTGGAGCTGCCAAATATATGGATCGCTCTATACAAGCGATTAAACGGCGAGTTACATCATATATCACGTCACTGACAGGAAGCAGTACACGCATGTGCCGTATTACATCGTATTCGTAACATCGCACGTAATTCAAACCGTTGCAGAATCATATGAAAAATTATTTAATTTTAAATTTATGTGTTCTTTTATCGAACGTCCATCTTCGATTAAAACATCTTTACCTGAAGACGACGGAAATATATATTCGTCGAAAGCGCTTGAATAAACGGGAAAAAACGAGCAATAACGCCAAACACAGTGAGTTTTTACTACTAATTAAAACAAACTGAGATGACATCTGAAAATATTCTTACCAAATGTTTAAAATTTTATTATTCTTACTAGCTCCTTAAAATATCATCAGGATGCATGGCTAACATATGTATTAATGAGATGTTTCATGATGGCATAAAGGAAACAGAAAATGAGATCTTGAATCAAAACAAATTGTATGAATCACATGGAATATAGAAAAGATGATATATTAAAATATTTAAGTAATTAAGTTACTCCTTGTCCCATTTCTACTAAGGAAATCAATAATGATGTCATTAGAATATATAGATTTACTCAAAGTCAATCAGATTGTTCTTTAAATATTTGCAAATTAGGTTTCCTTCCTGCTATCATGGAGCATTTTATTAATACATATGTTAAAATGTAGCTTACATTAGTTTTATAAAAAAAGTTGTTGAAAAACTTGCAAGAACAAAATTTTCAGATGTCATCTCAGTTTATTTTAAATTCAAAAAAATAAAAATCTAATATAAATGTAAAATTATAAGTTTTTACAGAATTTTAGTTGCCAATTATGGTGCATAAGATACCTATCATATCACCTGTTTAAGGAACATAACCCATCTATTAATTTAACAGGCATACAGTAGCTTTTTCTGCTTTTGCTGACTTAGAGAGAAACAAGATCAAATAGGTTGAATTTAGTTTAATCCAATATATTATGATCCACTAGGTAATAGTAGCAAATCATTAAGTATGATTGTACACAAACCATTACATTATCCTTTTAAATTGCCTGCTCATCCAGAATATTACCACTTACAGTATATACATAAAAAAAAAACAGCTGCATCATCCATTGCAAGTGTTGACAGACTACACATTACTTTTGATGGACCTCTACATACATACATACATACATAGAGTAGACCGGCTCTCTATTAGCCAGAACTCAAGTGTGAGATTCCAGACTGGGTCCAAAACCCCAAAAACATACGTAAAAATGAAAAGAATGTGAATGTAACAGAAATTATTACCAAATGGATGTATAGAATAAACAACATTATGACAAGGTAAAATTGTCAATAGAAAAAAATATATATTGTAAACATGTCAAAAATGAGTTAAAATAAAGTGATATAAGTCACAAATGTGAAATGAGTGCAGGCAACAAGAATTTACAGATATCTGCTCAGAAAAGGGAACCTGATGCAGGTAGTCATAAATATGATGAAATAAGAAAATAGGATAAACTTTTGATAAATAATTTTATATTAATGGAATGGAGAACATCATAACAAAATCATTAAAATTCTTGATTGTCATAATATCACAACACAATAGCTTAAAATATGAGAAAAAAAGGCTAAAGTTCAATAAACAATTCTTGGATGGAGTCAAAATGAGATATCAAATTGTACTTGGACTATTGACCTTTTTTGTGCCCTAATCTGAGTCTTGTTACACCTGGAAACAGTGTGTGACCAATTGAGAACCAATCAGAACCTTATTAATATGCTAAAATTCTATATAAACCATGAAACCATGGAAACTGGGCTTTTTCCCATCAATAGTTCATCTTCATTCTTTCCTGCCATCCTTCTGAAGCTGCTTGGAGAGCTCACAAGTTCTAATCTCTTATTTTGTGCGTGTGTTTCTGCTTTGTCTTCTCAACCAAGGCTACCAAGGACTTTCTCCGTTTTACCTAGTTAATTCCATCTGAGCTCCACACTCAAAATCAATGCTACCCTGGGGCTTCCATTTTGTGAAGGAAAAATCAAACATATCCAGACTTAGACACTTTTGAAGTGATTTTGAAAAATTATTGTAAGCTCCTTTTGAATGTTTATAATAAATGGTTAAACTTTCAAAGAAGACTACATACTCATCCACCCTAACTGGGGCTGAATAATTTCCTGCCAATATCTCACACAAGCAACCAGCAAAAAAAATAAAAAAATAATAATATTTTAAATAAAAATTAAAATAAAATCAATTTCTAACAAAAATGTAAGTTTAAACTTGGTACACTGTGCCACAAGTAAGCTCACACTTCATGCATCACATGTTTGTCTCCCACTTCCAGTTGATTGCCATTTAATTAAAAGTGCACATTGCATTCACAAAGCTGTTTTTTTTTTATAACAATACTGTATTACATTAAGTTGAGTTTATCTTTATCTGTTTTAATTTACTTTTAATTATTGTATTTCAATATTAATATCAAGCCAATAGAGTTTACAGTATTGTTTGGTATTATATGTGATATACTATTAGTTAAACATATTTTTAATAGAAGAGTTATTCAGAAATTGACCTCCATTAGGCAACACAGCCATATAGCTTAGTGTAGCAACCTGAAATAAATATGAGTGCAGAATTAAACAGTGGTATGCTGAATCATGATTGCCCATGTGGTCAACCATTTTGTGAAATGCAAGTTGGATAGCAAGTGTGGAAACATGGCTTATGTCATCAAAGCTCCCACTAAATGTGAGGTACTTGGTGTTATCCACTTTTTGCAAAAAGCAGATAGCACTATGAATTGACCAAAGGATTCACTGAAGTGCAACTGAGACTCACCAAAGGATGAGTGTTGTGTACAGTGAAAACTTCTTGAGTGACTGTTGTGTGAGAGAATGGCATTGGAAGGTTTGGGAGGCCAAACAGATATGCATCATGAAGCTGATGGAAGAAGACTGTCTGTGATGACTGCCAAACTTGTAGAATGAGTGGACAAAGTATTCACAGACCAAAGACCACTTTGGTCTGTGAATGCTGTCAGTTCACATGTCAATTATCATGCCAATTTCCTAAAATTCCATGAGCAACACTCTGAAATTGTGACCTTGACTCTGGGTTATCATAAGTTTTCTGCAAGTGGGTGCCCAAAAACCTTGGTCAGTCATAAAGTGCAGCAAATGGGGTCTGCATTGCAGTTTTTGCAATGCTACTATGTCAAAGGCAATGCTTTCCTGGACAAAATCATTACAGGAAATGAAACATGATTCAGTTTGTGAATATGAAGACAAAGGAACAATAAAAAGTAATAAATGCAGACAAACTTGCTAAACAAGCCCAAGAAATCCAGGCAATTGTTATCCAACAAAAAGATGATGGCTACAGTTTTTTGAAACCATAAGAGAATGTTGCTGACAGATTTTATGGAGTCTGAGACTATTGTTACTTCACAGGTGTTCTGTGAAACTCTAAAAACTTTAAAAGGTAATTCAGAACAAGAGGCAAAGCTTGTCTTCAAATGTGATTTTTGTCCTGAACAATGCTTGCCACAGGCATTGCTCCAATAGTTTTGATGGGAATTGTTTGATCACCCTTCCTAAAGCCTCAACTTTGCACCAAGTGACTCATTTTTTTCTAAAAATAAGTGTGGTTAAAAATATAATTCAAGTTCAATGAGGAACTGATGCATGGCATTCATGGATAGCTGAACTCCCAGGTGTCAAATTTCTTTGATGAGGGAATACAAAAAATGGTGCCATGTTATAACAAATGCCTAAATTCCCGTGAAATTTATGTTAACTAAGATATGTATGTACTTTTTATGTATAATAAGTATAGTTTGTCTTTATTCTTGTTTTTTCACTGCCTATCAGAGGTTAATTTCTAAATAACCATTGTAGCAACCAGAAACTACATTTATCTGCATTTACCAATCTCCACAAGTGATAGTTAACTACTAATATATATATAATGTGTGTGTACACATATTACATGTTTATAAAATGTGATACATTTATATAACTTCACATAAACTTTTGTTTAATGATAGATTAATTAAATTAAATAAAAAAATGTTAATGTTTAACCTAATGATTTCTATTTAAATATAACTAAAACTGTAAGCTAGTTAGTAAAACTTTTTAGTAGAATAAAAGTATAATCTGGTTGTTATAGTTTATATATTCTTCCACTATAAATTATCATAATTTCCAAAAAAGAAATGTCATTCAATTTGAAGTTTCATAATTTTGAAACAACAAAATTTCTATTAGTTAAGATAAAAAGTTTATTCTTTAAAATTTAAATATAACTGGTAAATTAAAATTTAATATTAAGTATAAATTTTTCATACCTTCAATGGATCTGTAATAACCAATTCTTCACTGCCATATAATTTTATATTTTTTGGTCCAGAAATTTTCACTAAATAAAATATTTAAAAATTATATCTTGATTTCATCTTTTCATTTAAAAGTTTAATGATTTATGGAAATACTTATGACTAACTTCATAGATTTTTGTAAATTTAAGTTAATAAAAATTGAAAGAAATAATTTTAAAAGACAACTACTGGTATACGAATATATTTACATAAAAAGTCAAAATAATAGAATCAATAACTTGGGAAGAGAAATCCACCAATCATGGAACAGTATTATTGACATGGAACAGTGACATGGAACATCAAGTGAAGGATACATAAGTTTAGAAAAATGTTTTAACCACTTATTTTAAATATTCTAATTTTTAAATTCAAGTTTAATTTATACAGGTTTAATTGTTTAAATATGATGAGAATTTTTCTGTTGATTTATATAAATACCACAAAAAACTAAGTCATTTTAATTGTCAGAAAAAAATTTTTTGAAATGTAATTTTATAAATCTTGTTTTAGCATCTTGTTGATGTAAACCTGCTGAAGAGGGACCTTAGGTCTGAAACACAAACATAGTGTGTACAGATGATTACAAGTGAACAATGAAGATGGTTTTTTCTGGATAGGTTTTCCTCAATTTGCAGAAACTGAACACCAGTAAAATAAGTCCTAATAATATGATATGTCCTAGTAGACATTTATATAATAATTTGTATTTAATAAGGACACAAAGGCACATGAATTAATAGATGTTTTCAACTGTTTTTACATAATTTTGCAGGAGCATAGCCTCTAATAAAAGGTTATTCTGCAAGGAACATTGTTCCTTGTGACTGGACATGACAGATGCATGAAGACATTTTAGTTTCCTCCATCAGTTTTAAATCATTTTCTCAGTATACCTTATACAGTTCACAACACACTTAATTTATTGCAGTATAAAATAAATTTATTTTTTCACCATTGCAATGTTATAAACTTTCTTCGATAGACCATCAAATTCATATTCAAACAAACAGTGGCATTTCATAAAATTTATTATGGGGCAACAATTATAAATTTGGAAAAATTACAAAATTTTCTGTGGACAAATCTAAAAGTGTCCTCCCTCCTTTCTGTCTGAAAGGAAGGTGTCCTTCTTCCTTTCTGTCTGAAAGGAAGAAGGACACCTTTAGAGTTCATCCATAGGAAATTGTAATTTTTTCAAATTTAAACAGTGGCATCTTAATGAGGTTTGACTGTAAAATATTACATGTATGTTATATAACATACATCATTGAATTCACAAAAAGTTTGCATCATTTATATTATCAATAGTAAAAGTATTAAAATACAGGAAATCATCATTACATTATTATTATTATATTATATAATTAATATTTTATTATTATATTTTAAGTTTAGTGAGTTATACTCACTTGACACCTGTTACTGTATACTATGTCAGACCAAAGTCAAGACAAAAATTAAATAAGTGTGTCTGTATTCAGGAATTTCCTAACAATATGACATGTATTCAATATAGTGGCCTTCTGTAGTGTTATGTATGTGTTTCTATTCAATTGTAAAGTTCCCAAGCTTTTGTGTAGTGTGTGTGATATGACACCTGTACAGGAGAGGTACAATAAGCACCTTATCCATCCTCCACTGCCACTGATGCCTTATTTCCTGGGTGAGTTCTGTGAACTTGCTGATTTTTTCAGTGCATGTGTTTTGTACATTGTGAGTGTTTGGAATGGATATGTCTATAATGTATGTGATTTTATTGTGTTTGTCAATGAGTGTGATGTCTGGTCTGTGGTAAATTATGATTATGGCTCTGTCATAATACGTTATTATTATTATTATTAACAAGAGTTTGACAACAGCATCAACAGAAAAGCAAACATAAAAAAACTCAAGAACATCCTTTGCAAAAACTTTTTTAGTTTTTGCAAAGGATGTTCTTTTTTAGTTTTTTATGTTTATCACAATCACTTAATGTATCAAGTGATTGTGATAAGTATTATTTAATATTAGGCAATATTGCTAATACTCTAACGAAAACTGCATCATCTTTTGGAATATTGTAATGTTTGTTATTCTCTTCATATTCTATTGAAAAATGAACAATATAGAAAGAATAAATTAATACTATTCACAAATACTATAATTAATTTATGTGACATTAATAAATTTCTTGTTTGATAATTTGTTAAATCTTTCAAATACAATTACAGTATATGCATTATTCTGGAAATATTTGTTGAAATAATATTTTATAACTTTTGATGTATCTTCCTTTCCTATATAAAGAATTTGTGAACAATCAACAAAGTGATCATTACCAAAGTTGAACAAAAGGAAAATAGTTCATGGAAGAACTTGGTAATTCATACATGGGAGAATATCACATATGACCTACTGGAGTCTGTTTGATGGCATGAAAGTTTCCTATCAAATCTATTTACAAGATAAATGCATGAATTCTTGTCATGTTATAGCTAGATAATTGTACAATAAATAGTATTATAGTATTATTCTGCTTGAGCATTATAAAGATTTTTGGATGCTAACATTATCAATTACAGCAGTACCTCAGGATACAAACACTCCAGCATACGAAATTTTCAGGATATGACATGAAATTCGAACATATTTTTTGCTCCACGGTATGAACAAAAACTCACCATACGACGTTACATTAGTTTGTCGGTCTCAGTCCGCGTGTTTACTTCGTCGTGGAAGGATCTCACTCGATAAAGGAAATTTTGAGGTATTATCAGAAAGTGATTTTATTGAAAAGAAACATCCCAAAAAGGTTCACACTGGCTGTATTGCTGCTCAGTGTAATGACATTTGCCTAAGTCATTTTAGAAACATTTTAAAAAGTAGACAAAGCCAAACCTCTTTGGATAGATATTTACCAAGCGACCTCTATCCAGTGAAAGTGCTTNGTGAATTTAAAAAATGCAAATATTAAAACAAACAAGACAGTTGGATTTAATTCCTATTAATTCCTAAATAGTAAATAAAAAATTTTTGTTAAATTTAATCAGAATAACTACAATTTTTTTATTCAGTAAGACTTATTAGATATTTAATATAAGCAAAAACATTAAAGAAATTAAATATAAAATGACTGAAGATATATATATATATATAACTGTTGGATTGGAGGAGATAAACATTCAACTATGGGATTTATCCCTGCAATATTAAATTATCTTCAGATCTTATACTTATTAAAACTAATTGAATTAAGTTTATTTTCAATATTTAATCCATCTTCTGGTGGATGTCTTAAATTGTAAAAATATTAAATTTACATATATAGTTATTTATTTTTATTAAATGAAAAGTTTTCAAAGATAAACTGAACTTTTATTATGTAAACATGTATTACTATGTACTGTACATGTTAATAAATACATATTTATTAACTCAAGTAATTTAGAAAATACTTCTTATTGTATAAATGAATAATAAAATTCTCAAATTTTTTTTATTCATTTATTATTATTTCAAACAATATTATAAAAAAATCACTTAAATACATCAAAAATCATATATTTTTTGTATAAACTCATGTTTGTAAAAATTGCAACATCATGAAGGAATCATCAAAAATGAATAAAATTTATTTCATGTGTAACCTGTAGAGATACAAAGAAATGATTAAATTTACAGAGCAATCAAACAATATTACATGCCAAAAATCAGTATTTGGTGAAACTGCCATGTGCTCCAATAAGAGATTCTACATGCCATGGAATTGCATCAAACAAGTTTTGAATGACCTGAGGAATAGCATTCCAGATTGCCTCTATCTGAACACAAAGTTCATCTGTATTGGCTGTGGGACAAGCATCAACAATGGGTTTCAGACCCACAAAATCCCAGACATGTTCAATAGGGGACATGTCTGGTGAATGGGAAGGCCAAGGAAGAAGCAATATGTCATGCTGAAAAGAAGTCTAGATCATTTCTAGCAACATGTGAACAGGCATTGTCCTGTTGAAATACAGTTCCAGAAATGCATTGAAGGAAGGGTACAACTTTGGAATCCACAACTTTCCTGATGTAATTGTTGCTGTTGAAAATACCTGCAATTCTGAGCAGCTGAGATCACCCATGATATCCAATAGTGTCCCAGACCATCACGCCTTGTGATCACCCGGTATGATGCTGGATAATGCACTGTGGAAGATGGCATTCACCTCTGTAATGTATGATGTGTATTCAGCCATTGCTGTACTCTAAATTGAAGTGGGATTCTTTGAAAAAGATGATTAGTTGCCAATCAGCATGCCAGTGGCTGAGAAAAATGATTCACCTTACAACATTTTCATGATACGATCTCAGTTTCAGAATGGATTAATTTAGTATCCTGAGGTACTACTGTATTATTCTTCTCAGTAGTTATACAACAAATTTTATTAAATTAAAAGAAAGCTTTAAGATTTAAAATAAATAAGCAAAATTCTACCTTTATATGGTACACTGGGTGCTGTAATTACCACTTGAGCATCAAATTCTTGATCTAATCTTTCACAAAATACTTCCAAATGTAGAAGGCCAAGAAAACCTAATCTCCATCCCTGACCTAATGCAGGACTGAAACAATATTGTACTTTTATTATTGAAATTATTGTATTATTTTAAATATAAGTGAATTTAAAAAATGCAAATATTAAAACAAACAAGACAGTTGGATTTAATTCCTATTAATTCCTAAATAGTAAATAAAAAATTTTTGTTAAATTTAATCAGAATAACTACAATTTTTTTATTCAGTAAGACTTATTAGATATTTAATATAAGCAAAAACATTAAAGAAATTAAATATAAAATGACTGAAGATATATATATATATATAACTGTTGGATTGGAGGAGATAAACATTCAACTATGGGATTTATCCCTGCAATATTAAATTATCTTCAGATCTTATACTTATTAAAACTAATTGAATTAAGTTTATTTTCAATATTTAATCCATCTTCTGGTGGATGTCTTAAATTGTAAAAATATTAAATTTACATATATAGTTATTTATTTTTATTAAATGAAAAGTTTTCAAAGATAAACTGAACTTTTATTATGTAAACATGTATTACTATGTACTGTACATGTTAATAAATACATATTTATTAACTCAAGTAATTTAGAAAATACTTCTTATTGTATAAATGAATAATAAAATTCTCAAATTTTTTTTATTCATTTATTATTATTTCAAACAATATTATAAAAAAATCACTTAAATACATCAAAAATCATATATTTTTTGTATAAACTCATGTTTGTAAAAATTGCAACATCATGAAGGAATCATCAAAAATGAATAAAATTTATTTCATGTGTAACCTGTAGAGATACAAAGAAATGATTAAATTTACAGAGCAATCAAACAATATTACATGCCAAAAATCAGTATTTGGTGAAACTGCCATGTGCTCCAATAAGAGATTCTACATGCCATGGAATTGCATCAAACAAGTTTTGAATGACCTGAGGAATAGCATTCCAGATTGCCTCTATCTGAACACAAAGTTCATCTGTATTGGCTGTGGGACAAGCATCAACAATGGGTTTCAGACCCACAAAATCCCAGACATGTTCAATAGGGGACATGTCTGGTGAATGGGAAGGCCAAGGAAGAAGCAATATGTCATGCTGAAAAGAAGTCTAGATCATTTCTAGCAACATGTGAACAGGCATTGTCCTGTTGAAATACAGTTCCAGAAATGCATTGAAGGAAGGGTACAACTTTGGAATCCACAACTTTCCTGATGTAATTGTTGCTGTTGAAAATACCTGCAATTCTGAGCAGCTGAGATCACCCATGATATCCAATAGTGTCCCAGACCATCACGCCTTGTGATCACCCGGTATGATGCTGGATAATGCACTGTGGAAGATGGCATTCACCTCTGTAATGTATGATGTGTATTCAGCCATTGCTGTACTCTAAATTGAAGTGGGATTCTTTGAAAAAGATGATTAGTTGCCAATCAGCATGCCAGTGGCTGTGTTGATGAGCCCATTGTATGTACAGATGTTAACAGTTTTGTGTCAGGAAAATCCTGCACAAAGGAATGCTTGCAGGCAATCCATGGTGCAGCAGACATCGGCAAACTATGGACGTAGACAATGGCACACCTGTAGCAGTGTTCCAATGTTGTGCCAACTATCAAAATGAAACTGTGCAATCTGCAATTGTGCAGATAAGGTGTCTATCATCCAGTGCTGACATAACATTATGCCCCAAACAAGCTGCAATTTCATGATAAGAAAATCCCCCTTCATGCAGACCAATTATTTGTCCCCTATTCAAATTTTGTAACTTGCTCATATGATGATTCCTTTGTCATCAACAAGGCATAGTAGTTTCTCATAAAATGTTTACCAGTAGCAGACAATGATACACTACCTCCAACTTTCATCTACTTCCCTCTATTTATATGGCTAACATGACCACTCAGAGGGTGCTTCTCAGCCCATTCATGCACTATCACTCTGACATTCTAATCATTTGCATGTCATACCCTGCTTTTCATTTCCTGTAAATTTCAGTTTATTCACATGATTCCTTCATGGTGTTGCAATTTTTACAAACATGAGTGTATTTTCTAAACAAAAAACAATAATTCAGAATTTTAACAATTCCCCACAACAACAACTCTGTTACAAAAATACTGTTATTTTGATCCTCTGAACACTGCTGTAGTAATACAGTAGTGTCAGAGGATCAAAGCTTGACTGTATTGCATTCTTATTATAAAAATGAAGTTAAACATAACCTTTTAAAGTTACTCAGTAAATATAAAAATCAGAGTTTTATTGGGTTAGATGCAAAATTCAAATATGGCTGCATCAATGCTGGATAGAAGAAATTGTTAGTTACAGGACTTGATTATAGTTTTGTACACATCATCTAGATAGTGATAAAGAAATACATTATATTTCCACTATAAAAATATGATTGTGTTTATGCTTTTATGATTTTTATCTCTGTTCTTCCAAACTGTTCTTTAGCACTTTTAAACTGACTTACAATTACAAGTAAAAAAATTTATACAGAAGTTTTAAAAGGAGAAAATAAATAGTAAGTATCAAAACAAAAGTTTGGAATAGATAAAACAAGAGAATTCAAATTGAAGCAAATTTTGTTCAATAATTAATAATAAATATGGTTATTATTATTTTCTAAAGATTATTTTATTTTAACTGGAACAACTTTAGAAAAACAGACTCATTAAAGTTTACAAAAATTAATATTCAGTTAAGAATTACACAATGTAAAACAAAGATGTTCATAGAAAACAATACAATATTTGCAATTTCTAAGATCTCTTAAAAAATATCAAGCATATGAAGTTAACAGTAGTCAACATCTGTGGCTCTTGTGGGTACAGATGTTGACATTACTCAAAAATATTCAATCTGTCAAGTTTTCTAATTTTATTTTGAGCTCAAATCATAAAGATGTAAAATAAACTTTTAAAATTAAGTTATAATTCAAGCTATTCAAGCATTTGTTACATATTATATGCATAAATCAGAATTTTGAAACCAAACTGAGATTAAAATGTTGTCATCATCTCTCATGTTTTCAGTAATTGAATATTCATGTATTAGTTAAATTTTACATCTAAATATAAAATTTAATATACCAAGTGTTCATAAAATAATGCATCATAGAAGCACCCAATGAAGTAAGAGTGCAGTCCAGCTAGTGTTGCATTCTTTCTTCATTGGGTGTTCCCATTCACAATATGCAATGTTCTGTTGGTTGTTATGTTATTATGCAGAATTATGCAAAATTTTAACATAAAATGAAAGAACTTTTGTACCATATTGTATGTATATAAAATACAAACTGAGCAATAACTACCAGATTGTTTTAAGTCAAACATTTTATCAGAAGTAAAATTACATGTTAATGATAAAATTTTTCATGCTTCTTTGCTGAAATGAAGGATAAAAGTTCTCTTGTCAACTCCAAGAAAATATCTTGCTCAACTCTCCTAAGCTGGCCAACAATTATCTGTAGAGAAGTGTCAATTATGTATTGTTGTGAATCTGTGATATTTTCAACTGCTCTTTGATAAACCCTGTCCTTTACATAACCCCAGTAAAAACAATCTAATGGCATAAAATCAGGAAAGTGGGGAGGTCATGGAAATGGACCACCTCAACCAATCCACATTCCTGGAAAAGTAGCATGTAACCCCTCTCTAACTGGAAGACTCCAATGGGCAGGGCTCTATTGTGTTGGTAGAAAATAGCATTATTAAGACCTACATCTGCACGAAGTGGTCTAACATGTGCTACTAAGAGCTGCAAGTACTTTTGGGAGTCAAGAATGCCATCAATAAAAAACAGCCTAAGAACTCGTCAGTGAAGTAATCCAGCCCAAACATTAAACTCTGCTGACATTGCACTGTACTACACTCACAAGCAATGTGGATTTTCCTGTGCCCAGTAGCAGATATTACTGGAGTTTATTTTGTTGCAAACATAAAGGATGAATGGTAGTTGAGTTTACTATGTTGCTATGATGTTTATAGCTGCTTCATCCATCATATAACTCCTGGGTCTCCCAGAGTTATATGATGGATTAAGAACAGTAGCTAAATTTCATTGCATGAATGTCTTGGATGATATGTCAAGACCTGGGTCTCCCAGGTCTTGACATATCATCCAAGACATTCATGCAATGAAATTTAGCTACTGTTCTTAAGATTGTAGTAAAGATGATAAATCCTATCTTTAATAAGCTGTTCTAAAAAAACCTAAATAGAAAATAAGGACAGCAAGCAATTATTTATTGTGACATCATCACAATGCCAGGCAGCAATTTTTAATCATATTTTTTTTAGTTTATTTAATTTAAAATATATGCTCTCCACCTCAAATTAATAGTGTCTTTCCCCTGTACATCATATTTTTCCTGTTAGCATAGTCACATGCTAGTCATCTATTAACTCCTTTCAGGGGAAGTTTTGAATTGAAATAATGTGACTTCCGGTTTGCATCAGAAGTTTGTATATAGTTAATCGGGATCTCTTGCCTCTAAGCTTTCTATATCTGGTCTCAATATACACCTATATATCTCCACTATTGAGATTAAGGACAGACGAACAGATGGTGGGAATAGGTCTATAATTTTTTCAAATTGCAGCCCATAAATTTTATATCTGTATATTTATTAATTTCAATCTCCATTCAATCTTGATTATTAGACACTGTAATGTGCACTGTACTTTTACATATGATATAATTTACTATATGATAAGAATACTGTGGTTGTGAATTATAGTTTAAATGATAATGTTGATGTTACAACTTCATAAAAAAGAAGTATTGTATACATTCAATACAAATGGTAAATTCTACCATCATAGCTCTTTTTTCATGGACTAAATAAAATATACAGTAAACTTGTGTAAACCGGAATTGCACAGTACAGTTTGGCAGGTTTCCATTTTGAACGGGTTCTTTTTTAATGTAGAAAACTGCTCTGTTCTGAAGAATTTTTTCCATTTAGGCTGGTTTCCTTTTTATTCAGGTTTTACCATAAACTGTGTAATTTAGGTAAATATGTATTTTAACATTAACATAACCAGAAGGAAAAAAAATTCTTATAAATCCCAGAATTGGACAATTAATTACTGCACAAACATGGGATTTTCACTGCACAATTCAAAATTTCCATTACACATTTTGTGTCCAATTGCACATTAGAATATGCACTGGTCTGATTGGAATGCAATGCATAGAATCATGCCACGTCCCTGAAGGAAAACTTGTAACACCTCACTTCTCTCTGCCTTCATATATCTCATTCTGTTACACACACTGCTAAATCGATTTTAAATACTACAGTTGCAGACACAATAATTTGCATAATTACCATAATAATGAATACTTGTGATGGAATGTACATCTTTATTACTAATTATTGAAAATTGGCATTGGCAATTACATCAGCAATTTTTGAAAGCACTCTACAACAATATAATCTGCAAACCTATTACAGACAGGAGATACATGTGACCACCTGTCAGATTAATGTTGTCAGGTACACCATAGGAGTGTCTTCCAGAATAAGAATGCCATCCAGTAAGCCATAGTAAAATGCTGGACAGCATTCTTACTTTGTCAGATGCTTCTACGGTGCATTATTTTCCAAAACTTGATAATCTAATATAAATATAAAATCAGATATAAATTCTTTCTAATCATAAATACCTATTTTCAATGGCAACAGTAACACTTGAATCATTCAACAATAATTTTTCAATCGCATTTCTCATTGCAAGATTATAAGACTGATCAACAGCATATATGCCAGCATAAACCTGAAAAATTAAATATTAAGTGTTAGTCTTAATAAATCATTTGAGATTTTTAAGTATCTATTTGATGGTCATATTTACTACTACTTTTCAAAGCAATCTTCAATAAATAACACAAAATTAAAAATTTAATAAAAAACAGGAAGTCATATTTCCTAAAACATGTAAAATAAAACCTCAAAGAAAATATAGTTCTAAAAATCACTAACAAGGGAAATGATAGAATCTGAATTATAAAAGCAAAAGCCAAATGATCTCAACTTTTAGCATTAGATAAATCAATTATAATGTAATGAAATATTACAAACTTACAATAACACCTGTGCATTTACTGAGAGAATTTTTTATTAACAAATGTTTTCAGCCTACTCCCATATGTCATCATCTAATGATAGTCTATGGGAGTAGGCTGAAAGTTTGTAATTTATCTATGCTGAGTATGTCCAGACTGTAATGAAATATGAAATTATACTGAATATAAGTGAATGTTTTAATGTAGTAAAAACATTCACTTATATTTATGAAAGTCAAAATTCAAAATTTTTTTTTTTTTATATTTAGACCTGTTAATGGAGTAGAGCAATTCTGAAAAAGTTTATTCTAATAATAAAGTTTTTTAATTTCTATAAATATAAGCACAGGCTTTGACTCTTAATTTCATAAAGAATATATCTGAAGAATGGTTATGAAATACAGTGGGTGATTGGTTAATGAACAAATTGGATAACAAACACTTTCACAAAAGATTTTTATGACCGGACAACAAACACTTTTGCGAAAGATTTTTATGATCGGACAACGAACATTTCACTGAACAAACACAAGAAGAAGCAATGTAAAATAACAAATACCAATTTGGTCTTCCTTTGTCTTCAGGCAACAATTCAAAACTTTTCAGAGCGTGGAAGACATCGATATCAACGTTCTACCCAGTATATACTGATCGGATAGTATTCCCCCAAACTTTGAAACTCTCCCTTGTAATTTCAGCCTTTTATATTTCTGACAGAAACAATTCTTTTACGTTTTCTTCTGAAATTGCAGATTTATGCTGACATTTGCTATTAAAGATCCTTTGAAGTGGGAGGATGTCAGAACAATGGTCTTAAAATGGCATCCAAACCAGGTTGAGGTTAATAGGTCTAGGGATCTCTACAATTACAATGCTATTAATTACTTCTGAAAAATCATGAAGACAGAAAAGCAATCGACATTGGACAGATTCTTTAACCCCCCAGAAACAGAAAAAACATGACTAATAAAAATGCAAGACCGTGTATATATGTATTTTTATTATTACATATGAATAAACGTAGTAAGAAAGTATATATTTTTTATTTTTTGGGGGTCTCCAGAACAAATTAATCAAATTCCCATAGAAACCTATTGTAAATCAATAATCGGTTAATGAACAATTCAGATAGCAAACAAAGTGTTGGAACGGATTATGTTTGTTAACCGATCACACACTGTACTAACTTTAACATACAATATATTAGTAGATTTTTATACACAATTCAAAGACCCAAATGTAAATATGGCTCCACACTTTGTTTTTGATGTTTTTGGCTAGACACATCTTTAAATCCAGGCAAAAGAATCAAAACTGCTGTTAGAACTTGATAACTTTATTCACTTTAAGTTATAACATGTTTTAGCTCTACAAAAATTACACTTTAATAAAAATTATTTGGCAACTATTATGTAAATTATATCAATTTTATGGTGAATGATCTAATTAATTGTATATTTCTCTTTCTAAGAGAAGATACAAGATTCAGCATTTAAAATGTTTGTTTGTTTAAAAAATATATTCCATTTTCTAGGAAAATTAAATTGAGGTTTGTGGCATAAGTTTTTTTTCTCTATTTCAGGTGTTAACATGTATGGCCTGCTATCTAATTGACCATCTGATGGCATTTCCTGACAAGTACCACATAGAAGAAGATAGCTGACTCGTCTCTCCCTTCAGTTTACCATCATGAGAGATGGTATTTTTGATCAAGCAGACATATCTACTTTTCTTTGTCTATATTCATGTTAATTTCTTCAGATGATATGTACTCAGCTTTTCTCTCTACCAAACCTTTTTTGGCATTGACTTTCTCCATTTGATAAAAGCCAAACAATGGTTTCAATCAAAAATCCAGTAATTTTATTCACATGTGACATAGATATATGAAAGACCCAAAGTGAATCATGGTCATCAATGTAAACTGACAGCAATCAGTTTATAACTGGCAATAGGATCATAGACTTTACATGGCAAACTTTACAAAGGCTGAGATATTCAAGGTCAAACCTTGAATATCTCAGCCTGTTGATGGAATTTCAAAGTTCTAGCTTTGTCATGACAGTGACCTTGCTGAGTTGTACATATTTAGAAAAAATTGTGTTTAGTGGCTATGTGGTTGCTTTAAACTTCACGGACAATACACTTTGACTTTTGCAGAGCTCTGCTTACACTCTGCTCAATTATAGCAAGAAGCAAATAGAAGAATAACTGATTAATAAAAATTGTGACATTATCACAATGCAGGGCTGCAATTTTTAATCATATTTTTAATTTATTTAATTTAAAATATATCCTCTCCATTTCAAATTAGTAGTGTCTTGTCCCTGTATACTATACTTTTCCTGACAACAGTCATGCTAATCATCTATGTAATTCCATTCTGGAGAAAATTTTTTGAATTAAAATCATATGACTTCCAGTCTAGACAGGATATAGTTAATCCTGCTCCTAAAGCTTTCCACATCTGGTCTCAACTTTCACCTATCTAATGCCATTCTCAAGATTAAGAACGAACAGACGGACAGACGACAGTGGGAATTTATAGGTCTGCAATTTTTTCAAATTGCAGCCCAATAAGATTAGTGGAAGACATGTGAATAGAACAATAGAACATAATGGAATATACAAACAAGATTTAGTTACCACTAAAATTAATAATGAGATTAATTCTTGGGCATAAACATAAAATAAAATTGATTAAAACAAGAAAAAAAGAGCAGATAAATTTTTAGTAATGTTTTACTTGAAATTACTAAAAACAAAATTTTTTTCAAAAGATTTTATAATCAGAACATCTAATATTAAATTAGATTTGTGAAATTAGATTTATGAACAGTATTTGTGAAATTTTGAAACTCAGCTTAATGCTGAGTTTCAAAATTTCACAAATACTATAGAATTCTTAAACTAAATGAAGTAAAAAATTCAGGTATTATTTATAAAATCACTTAACTGGTATGTCATTTCCATTCATACTATCTTTTATTTTTTATTTTTTTACACTTTCCATTGTGTGGCATTAAGAAGGCTCCTTTTTCAAGCCCATCATGGGTTCAATCAGGCCCACAAAGGGACAAAAAGGCCTAGGTGGTGAGGAACAGACCACCTACCAAAAAATACATGAGGTTTATCAACCTGTCCAGATTTGTTCCCAGATCCCCATAGCAGAAACCTTAATTGCTCAGCAATCTATCTATCTAGTCTAGTCATCTTGTTGTCAGCAATCATCTAGCTAATCTAATCATCTGAACAACCTAGCAATCAAGCATTGAAATTTTTTGGTCAGTATAGATTAGTTTGAGCATGAATAATGTAATTATAATGACCCAAAATTATTTAATATGTTTTTATATATTACACTTTCTAGTAATGTATAATACATACCATTGGTTTAAATGGTTGATTTAATGAAAGACATTTTACATCTTCACCTTCATGATGAAAAGTATCACCCATCTTAACATCAGATAATGATTTGATATTAGCTGTTAAATAACCAACTTGACCTGCAAAACTAAAATTTTTTAATTTAATAAAAATATTAAAATTTTTGCAAAAACCATCAGTTTTTAAAAATAATTATGTATGTTTTAATTACAATTATGTTTTGCTAATAATGTTTAACAAAATTATACAATAATAACAAGTTTATTATAATCCTCAATATTTGTTTACAGAATTAATTTTTGAAATATGTCTAATGTCATTGTTTTTTCAGGATTCATAACTTTGTTAATTTTTGTTAATTGAATTAATTTCATGTAGAAATCACTAATGATTTTTTATATAATCATACAATTCAGTTTTTCTATTGATTTTTATAAGATTAATTGAAATGTATAATTTTTATACCATATTAATAAGAAATTAACAATAGCTAAGTAAAATTTAATTCTCAGAATATTAGACTAAACATTATGAGAACAATTTATCAGCACATGTTTTCCTTAGTTAATTTCAATAGATTAAATGATCATGATTAATATAGATTATATAGATTACATTAACATTTAAACATAGTTAAAAATACTATCAAGTTATATTTTATTTTTAACAGCAAAACAAAACAAATTTTTATCATTGAAAGCATTAANTCAGTTTTATTTTTCTGACCTATTTCATGTAAACTTAGAATGCATTCTATATCTGGCATATCTTATATGCCACAAAATATAACTAAATATATGATATATAAAATATGGTATTTGTTTATTATTACTGATATTATTAATTTATAAAAAACGTCATTGTATTAATTTGTGAAAATACTGTTTTTTCTAATTTTTACATTAACCAATTTATATTATAATAAATTACAGTTGTAGTAAGTTCTAAAAATGCTTTCCTTTTTTTTCTTAGATATATTAGAATCTTTATATATATTTTTTTATGCTTTATATATAAAGCATAAAAAAATATATATAAAGATTCTAATATATCTAAGAAAAAAAAGGAAAGCATTTTTAGAACTTACTACAACTGTAATTTATTATAATATAAATTGGTTAATGTAAAAATTAGAAAAAACAGTATTTTCACAAATTAATACAATGACGTTTTTTATAAATTAATAATATCAGTAATAATAAACAAATACCATATTTTATATATCATATATTTAGTTATATTTTGTGGCATATAAGATATGCCAGATATAGAATGCATTCTAAGTTTACATGAAATAGGTCAGAAAAATAAAACTGAAGAATTTTTTTTTAGTACTGGACTCTGTTGGGGGAGCTAATACTCATTCCAGATTCTGTCTGTTATTCATTAAACATTCTCTTTCAGGTTATTTGTACACTGAGTTATTTTCTTTATGTTTTAATAAAACATACAATAACCTTAAATACACAAACAACCTTATTAAATATCAACTAGGCTGAACAATTACAGAGACAATTCAAATCAACTAACTAAGCAATTGATTTTCTAAAATCATATTTCTTAAATAGGTTTGTTTCTACTTATACTATTTCAAGAGAATGAATAATAAAAAGTAAGCAAAAACTTCAAACATCCTACAAAATATGTGAAAGAAGCTTACAGGAGAAGTAGAAGTGCCATCTTGTCTTGTGTAGACTACAATTTTTTTAGTACAATGACGATAAAAATAAATTTCTTTTCACAAAAATATTGTTTTATAAAATTGTTATTTGAAAAAAAGAAAAAAAAATTAAGTTTTCTTTGCTTTTTTTCAGAATGAACAATTGATCTTCTAATATCTACTTTATGTTCTTAATGTTATTCTGAAGGTTCTTGAAGTTTGTGTTGAGATTAGTAAAAGTTGATTCTGAACTGTGGCTGGCTACTCCATAAGCATATAGTTTATCAGTGTCATACTTGACTCATTACTATTGAAACAAAAATGGTTGCCAGGATTTTGAATAGAGACACAATTATTCCGTTGTTGAAAGTTAAGTGGAAATTAAAACATTTCCTCCTTCAATAAAAGTTTGTTTTACTTTATAATGCATTGTTACATAATGTTGGTATGTGTATATGATTCCTATGGTATTGATTAAATGCAGGGTTTGTCTACTAACCACTACAAGTAGTTTAAAAAATTATCATAGTCATTTACTGAATATTCTTTGAGTATTTATTATTGTTTTGATTGCTTTTTGTTTGTTAAATTGAATTATTCATATTATATACTTATTCTACAGTTGCTTGATTGTTAAACTAGGAGAATACCTAAATCCCAACTTGAATCTTAAATCAGACTTTTACACCTTACAGGATGTAAGAGTTTTTGAGAATAAAATTTTGAAAAAGTGCCTCATAAGCCACAAAAGACAAAATAACTAAAATTTCCAATTTTTCCTCAAATTATTTTTATATTATAATTCTAATAAATACTGAAATTTGACTTAATGATTATCATCAGATAGTATCATTATTTAGTCCTATCAAGATAAAATTTAAATATTAATTATTTGATTAAATTTTTTATAATTAGAATAGTTTAAACATTAAACTGAAAGGTAGCCTTAAAAAATAAAAAATATTTGATAAAACGATTTATTATTCTAGAAATCAACAACAAAACTAAATAGCAAAAGCTAAAAATTTAATCATTTTACTCTTTCTTTTAACTTAAATCAAATATTTAAAATTGTCATATTTGTAATAAAAACTACTTGCTTACAGTTCTTTTACTGATGTTTCTTCTGGATGTAGAATTCCAAGTTCTTTTACTTCATATGTATTTCCAGTAATATGAGATGTAATTATATCGCCTACCTTCAATTTACCATCTACTATTGCCAATAATGGAATAACTCCACGATAACGATCATGCCAGGAATCAAATACTATTGCTCTGAATAATTTACTCCTTCCATTAGTAGGTCTAAATAAATTAGATTTATACTTTGTACAATGTTAAAAAAAATTTAACTTAAAAATAATTATAATTTAGTATATATAAATATACAGTAGATCCCCCTATAAAACCGTTTCCTATAGTTATGATTCCTATAAAAATTGTGGCATTATCCGTAAACAACGGTAAAAATAACTCCTATAATACGTAAAACGTCATCGGGCAGCCGAACTACTTACCCGCCGTCCGTAGCGCCACGCTACGGAGAGATTTCTATCGTCTGGACAGTATTATATAAATTATATATAAATTAGGTACTGTACATATAATTATATATTAATTATATATAAATTAGGTACTGTATATATAATTATATATTAACTTAATTTATTGTAACTTTATTATAATTAAATATATATTTTTCGCCGTCTAGCGTCACGCTACGGCGAGTTAGGCGACCTATCGTCTGTTTAGTACTGTAATTTTATACATTTCTTGTGAAAGAAACATTTCTTATTTAACGGCCATAAAAATTATTTATATTAATGATGTCTCCAAAGGTCAACGAAGTTTTCGCAGAAAAATAATATCAGAAATCGCGGC